TACAGCAACACAGAAAAATACATGACGAAAAATTAAATGAAAAAATGAAAAATAAAGAATGTGAGTTTTGTGGAAAAGTTTTTACAAAAGTATCGGCATTGAAGTGTCATGTACAACTTCATACGGATGTAAGGAACAATGTCTGCGACACCTGCTGTAAAGGTTTCGCACGAAAAAGGCAGCTGGACAGACATTTGCAAACTCGCTCAGAAGAAAAGCCTCACAAGTGTACCATTTGTAGGAAGTCGTATATTTGGTAATCAGAATTGCAGATTCAACTTAGGAGTCACACTGGAGAAAAACCTTTTGTGTGTGATGTATGTAACAAAGGGTTTATTGACAAGTCAACGTTAAATACTCATATCAAAACACACGGTGAAAAAACCAACATATGTTCATTTTGTGAAAAACCGTTTACAACTGAAGGTAATTTAGATTGCCATATGAAAATACATACAAAGCTCGTCATAAATGCAATCTTTGTGGTAAAACATGCAAAATATTCAGTAGTCTTGGAGAATATCTCCGCGTGTATACAGGTAAGAAACCATATAAATGTGAAATTTGTGGGAAAGGCTTTCGTCTGGCAGGGTTCTTGAGTATGCACATGCAAAGCCACAATAACAACGAAGACACGAAACCACGTGTGTGAGAGTTTTGTGGTAAAACATTCGAGTGGAATTCTAAATTAAAAAGACATCTCGTTACACACACTATCGGAAATTGTTCAGACGATAAACAACACAAGTGCAAATATTGTGATAAAATGTTTGTTTCAGAAGTTAAACTTATCATACACTCAGCATTACATATTAGAAAGAAATCATACCCATGTGAAACATGTTGTGAAGTGTTTACCGATCCTTCGAGTTATAAGAGACATCATAAATCTCAAATTCATCTGGAAAATGAGAGAGTCGCGAAAGTAGGACTGCAAAATTATGTGCAATTCAAAAATAATAAAAAGTGATGTGCTTGTAGTTCATTCAAGATAAAAGTTGCCTTTTTAGTGTGGTTGAAGGGCAACTGCGTTAGTATGTTTTTAAAGACAATTTGATAAATACGGGTAATATACAGTATTTTGTATATGACAAGCGACTTCTTTCCTGACCAATGACAACTCTTTTGCTTTATATATACATATGTATAGCACGGACAAGCAAATTGTCAAATTTTTTAGGCAACCTGACCCTTTATCATTAAACAAATATTACATAAAGTACATCACATACATTAAACCAATACAAACTTACAAAGTTAAATCGAGAGTGGTGGTGTAAATTTAGGTGTCTCTTCCCTTCAGCCGAAAGTCCTTTATGACGGACAAAACCACCCTAAGTTGTTGTATGGAAGAAGGTGACTAAAATATCAAAAATGTTTGTGTCAATCCCGGTATGTCTTACACTGTAGACACTGAGCGTTTATGTATCAGGTCCGGATCAAGGATTGCGGTTTAGAGGGCGCAAATTTTTGTTGACTGAAAAATAGCCTTTATTGTATTTTGTTCAACTCCTCCCTTTATTTTCAAGATTTTCTTTGCTATTATTTCATTTTTTCATGTTACACTTTTTAGCACACCACCATTAGATGGTGGATTATTCAGATCGCTCTGTGTCCGTGGTCCGTCCTTCCGTAAACAATTTTTGTTATCGCTATTTCTTGAGAAGTCCTGCATGGATCTTTCTTAAATTTCATATGTAGGGACCCCTTGGCCCCTAGTTGTGCTCGTTTGATTTTGGGACTGATCAGACGAAGTGGCCGACAGACGGACATCTTAGATTTTGACTTCGAAAGTTTGTTATCACTATTTCTTGAGAACTACTGTATACATCTTTCTCAAATTTCATGTCTAGGGTTCTTCAAGTCCTTAGTTGTGTCTATTTGTGTGTGTGTGTGTGTGTGTGTGTGTGTGTGTGGGTTTAATAAATAATCACGGATTGCATTATAAATAGGGTGGTGGACCAAACATACGAAAAGGCATTCATACTGGTCAACTTTCCGAGGTGTGATCTGGGGTGAAGTTCCAACATTTTTAGTTAACCTGGCCTGAAAGGTTTGGTGAGCGGTGGTGTGGATTCAGTTATCTCTTCGTCAAGCGTCAACTTTTCCATTTAAACGACTTTTCTTGAATAATCAACAAACCAAATACCATGGTATTAGGCTGGTTGGTTGCTGGGTTGAAATCAGATAAACTTTACGAAAAGAAATGACCTTTACCCTTATTCAAGGTCACAGGGGTCAAATTTGTTAAGACCTTTAAACAGCTTTTTCTGACTAACCAAACGCATTCTCGATATTCCAGGGGTTACATCACTTTCGCTTTCTGCATCCTGAAACATGTCATGACAAAATTGCAGACGCAAACGAAGTAATTTCATTGGTTACAGGGGAAACAAACGACCAATTACAGGCTGATGCACTTGTTTTGAAGGTTACAAAACACTTCAAATCCATTACAATATACAATTATGCAACCTCGAGATTCGTTTGATGTACATCGAAGGATCAAACTAGTTTTGTTTACAAAGAGTCGTTCATGGAACCTTCAATTCCGACAAGTTCCAGGGATGTAGAGAGCGAAACAGATATTCTGTCGATCCAAGATAACGGCCATGCGACCCGTTTGAGCAGAAATGGGTGAAAGAGCCTCTCGCCAAAAATACTCGATCTTAGAGGTAAGTATGTTTAAGTCACCCTCGAAAGCCCCTTGGATAGGAAAGAAATCTATTACTGCTGAAATCATTTAAATTAATGCAGATATCACGTAAGTAAATCTGGTCGATCTGTTTACCAACCACCACACGAATATATAATACATACAATATACATGTACATTCGATCTACCTCTCTGCCAACCACGTGCTGACGGGGTGCTTGTATCTCGTGGGACCTGGTAGTACTAAAGTAGGAAAGACAGAATTTCAATATTAATTTGGTCCCAGATTTCAGATTTGATTTTGAAAGTGATTTTGTACTATGACCGTGACTATTTTGAAATTTAGAAACAACATTGCAAGCATATGTACTCATCAGGAAATACCTACAAACCCCATGCCTTTGAGATTATTAAAGAGGTATTGCGCGTAATCACTTGATTCAACCCTTAATATGACCAACGATAAAATAAAAAATATATATATTTCGATGAATTCTGATAGGTAAACCCAATTAGCTGTATCCAAATACCAATTATCAGAAAAAAAATCAGGGATATGTGTTATTTGCTATTTTTTACAGATCGCGTCAAAGTTGCTACTTGAAGCAATATACTCTAAAACATGGGGATTTCTCGGCTTCAGATACAATTTTGACACACAGCTCACTCGTGTACCAACTTCTAGGCAAACTGATCCTAATCCATTGTGATCAGATGTAACTTAAATCCCATCCTCGAAAATAAGTACAATCGTGCTGTTATTCCGAAAAATTGAGAAAAAAAATGAACCAAATGTTTAATACTTCTGCTCGTAATATACGAATTAAACATCAATAATTTCTACATCAGTTTCTGTAGCACAGGCGGTAAGGCATAACTCCGAGATGAGTGTCCGGCTTATCATTTGCAGCCAGAAGATATTTTTCATTTGTCTTTACATTGTCCAGTTTTATCAGATTAAATTTTCTTCTTGGTAGAATGACTAGAAAACTTATCTTTTGCGCAGCCTGGAAATGTTAATTCACTAAATTATGACCATCTTCTTGTCTTGAGTTTTAGTGAAAAATGGAAATATGTAAATACACTTTTTGTAAATTTCGTCCTGAGTATGGCAAGATATTGTATCTCAGTGAAGGGAACGTTCCGATATTACTTTTTTTCAAATTAACACTTCGAAAAGTCATACAGTATGCTTTTATTTAAGTCAAAATAGCATTTGACTTTTCATGAAAAACGTTGTAAGTGATAATAATTTTTTTTTGCAGAAGATGAAATGGTAAAAGTTGAGATATGATTTACCCGTTAATGAATGTGTTAGTTTTTTCATCTGTCAGGACCTGTGATACAAATGCCTAACGGAACTGTGATTATTTTTTTTATTCTATGGATGCCTTTTTTAGTCTTGTTTGCACTGTGATGAACCTCCCTCCAGAGCCCAAACCCCTGAGGCTCTACTGCTAGGATCTCAAATTATAACATTGAGAATAAAAAATACGTTACTCCAACGTTAATCAATTTTGTATGGGGGTCATATATTTGATCTCAACTACCGTGACATCATGATAACTTTTTTTTTTTTTTTTTTTTACACATTTTGAATAAACTAATTCTAGAGGCAAGTTTGCTTTAATTTAATCATTCATATCCATACGCATTGCAACAATTACTGGCAAAAATCCGACCTATTATCTCAGGTGATAATTATTACAGTCTATGAGTTACAAAATATAGCTAGGGACATTGATTCCTGCTTGATATTGCTTGAGACATGGTTGAATGTCGTCTCCATGTTCAATGTGTATTACACGGTCACGGAGTAATCCGACCATTTAATTTATCTTTTGCTTTGAATTTTCTTGTACATTTTTCAACTTCAAACATAATATTGCCATTAATTCACCAATTTCGGGACGTACATGTTCTATGTTTAGACACGGTGACTCCGAATACATATTTACCGTCGTCATTGGTCGTGTATTTCTTAAGATCGACCAAAGCCGTGAACTGAAATAGGACTTCCATCACGGTACAGCGCCACACGTCTCCAGTGTCAAAATTGAAAATGAAAGTTTATTTTCAATAAAATACAGATTTTGTCTTTTACAAACTATTATCAGTTTGCTTTTTAATTGCCTCAGCTGAAATAAACACAGGAAAGAATGGTATTTTCAAACAAGGTATATAGATATACACGTGTATAGCAATTTCGTCCGGTTGCGGTATCCTGACTTTAGCTGTATCCCTTTATCTGTCACAGTAGTCTCCCATCAACTTCCGGTCAATTTCCCTTTGTGGTTTCGGAGCTTACATTTGTGTCGTCTGTCTCTTCAGTGTTGTTATGCTCATGAACAGTGCCTGCCAGTTGCCAAGAAGACATAATGTGAAGTTAATACTCTGCTTAGATACTCATGTTAAGTACATATCTAAAGATGACAGGTGAACTATTTATTCAGGTAGGTACTCTTTATTGATCGTTGTGCATTCAACGTAGATGAGAAGACTTTTTTGATATTCCACCAAAGTATCATAGCACATATTCCGCATATATTTGCCGCCGACTTTCATTTGTAATTCATTTTGTTTGTAATGGAATCATTAGTACACACATGTATACAAGTGGTGTAATTTTGTCCCAGAGAAGGGATTGTTTATGCAAGATTTTTTTTTTCTCCTTTAGAATAAATTTTAGAAACGGACAATATTGTTATAGGTACTGAGGAAGAGCATGCAATGATAAATGCTTTCAAATCAAACTTACAGCATGTAAAGTTCTTATTGTGTACAAAACCCTTATTCCTAATGAACTTCATTGAAGAAAAGTTGTCATTTTAACAAGTTACCCCATATACATCTCTGTAAATCCTGTTAAATTCATGATTAGTTACACGTATCTGTTCTTATTACGTTACACTAAATTACTATTATTAATGTCTCAGTTAATTTTTAATAATTCAAAAAATAAAATGTGATTTAATGTAAAGTTTTATTATTTTTTATTGTGATGATTGCATCTCAGGTACATGCTGTATATGTATATATATATATGTATATAATGGAATATACTTTTTAATTTGCTTACTTATAAAAACTGTATATTATATGATGGTTGTGATACATTATTGGAGAAACAATTGAATAACATATTTATACAGTTGTAAACATTGACACGATACTTATGACTTAGATTATAGATATTTCATAATGGAATAAAACAATCACTTTTTGTACATCTATGTTAACAATATAATAGTACATGGTAGTATGTGGTGGAATTAGGTAGTATGAGATAGTATATGATGGCATGTGGTAGCATGGGGTAGTATGTGATAGTGTGGTGTAGTATGTGGTAGTGTGGGGTAGTATGTGGTGGCATAGGGTAGTATGTGGTAGTGTAGGGTAGTATGTGGTAGTGTGTGGTAGTATGTGGTAGTGTGGTGTAGTATGTGGTAGTGTAGGCTAGTATTTGGTAGTGTGGGGTAGTATGTGGTAGTGTGGGGTAGTATATGGTAGTGTGGGGTAGTATGTGGTAGTGTGGGGTATTATGTGGTATTGTAGGCTAGTATTTAGTAGTGTGGTGTAGTATGTGGTAGTGTGGGGTAGTATGTTGTAGTGTAGGGTAGTTTGTGGTAGTGTAGAGTAGTAAGTGGAGTAGAATTTGGTAGTGTGGTATAGGATGTGGTATTGTGGGGTAGTATGTGGTAGTGTGGTATAGGACGTGGTAGTGTGGTGTAGTATATGGTGGTGTGGGGTAGTATGTGGTAGTGTGGGGTAGTATGTGGTAGTGTGGAGAAGAATTTGGTAGTGTGGTATAGTATGTGGTAGTGTGGTGTAGTATGTGGTAGCGTAGGGTAGTATGTGATGGTGTGGGGTAGTATGTGATGGTGTGGGGTAGTATGTTGTAGTATGTGGTAATGTGGTGTAGTATGTGGTAGTGTGGGATAGAATGTGGTAGTGTGGGGTAATGTGGTGCAGTATGTGGTAGTGTGGGGTAGTATGTGGTAGTGTGGTGTAGAATGTGGTAGTGTGGTGTAGTATGTGGTAGCGTAGCGTAGTGTACTGTAGTATGTGGTGGCGTGGGGTAGTATGTGGTAGTGATGGGTAGTATATGGTAGTGTGAGGTAGTATGTGGTAGTGTGAGGTAGTATTTGGTAGTGTGGTGTAGTATGTGGTAGTGTGGGGTAGTATGTGGTAGTGTGGGGTAATGTGGTGCAGTATGTGGTAGTGTGGGGTAGTATGTGGTAGTGTGGTGTAGAATGTGGTAGTGTGGTGTAGTATGTGGTAGCGTGTAGTGTACTGTAGTATGTGGTGGCGTGGGGTAGTATGTGGTAGTGATGGGTAGTATATGGTAGTGTGAGGTAGTATGTGGTAGTGTGAGGTAGTATGTGGTAGTGTGGTGTAGTATATGGTGGTGTGGTGTAGTATGTGGTAGCGTAGCGTAGTGTAGGGTAGTATGTGGTGATGTGGGGTAGTATGTTGTAGTATGTGGTAATGTGGTGTAGTATGTTGTAGTGTAGGGTAGTATGTGGTAGTGCGGGGTAGTATGTGGTAGTGTGGTGTAGTATGTGGTAGCGTGGTGTAGTATGTGGTAGCGTGGTGTAGTATGTGGTAGTGTTGTGTAGTATGTGGTAGTGTGGGGTAGTATGTGATAGTGTGGTGTAGTATGTGGTAGTGTGGTGTAGTATGTGTTAGTGTGAGGTAGTATGTGTTAGTGTGGGGTAGTATGTGGTAGTGTGGTGTAGTATGTGGTAGTGTTGTGTAGTATGTGGTAGTGTGGTGTAGTATGTGGTAGTGTGGTGTAGTATATGGTAGTATGAGGTAGTATGTGTTAGTGTGGGGTAGTATGTGGTAGTGTGGTGTAGTATGTGGTAGTGTGGTGTAGTATATGGTAGTATGAGGTAGTATGTGTTAGTGTGGGGTAGTATGTGGTAGTGTGGTGTAGTATGTGGTAGTATAGGTTAGTATGTGGTAGTGTGGTGTAGTATGTGATAGTGTGGTGTAGTATGTGGTAGTGTGGTGTAGTTTGTGGTAGTGGGGTGTAGTATGTGGTAGTGTGGTGTAGTATGTGGAAGTGGGGTGTAGTATGTGGTAGAATAGGTTAGTATGTGGTAGTGTGGTGTAGTATGTGATAGTGTGGTGTAGTTTGTGGTAGTGGGGTGTAGTATGTGGTAGTGTGGTGTAGTATGTGGAAGTGGGGTGTAGTATGTAGTAGTATGTGGTAGTGTGGTGTAGTATGTGGTAATGTGGTGGAGTATGTGGTAGTATGGTGTAGTATGTGGTAGTGTGGTGTAGTATGTGATAGTGTAGGGTAGTATGTGGTAGTGTGGTGTAGTATGTGATAGTGTGGTGTAGTGTGGTAGTGTGGTGTAGTATGTGGTAATGTGGTGTAGTATGTGGTAGTGTGGTGTAGTATGTGTTAGTGTGATGTAGTATGTGGTAGTGTGAGGTAGTATGTGGTAGTGTGGTGTAGTATGTGGAAGTGGGGTGTAGTATGTGGTAGTGTGGTGTAGTATGTGTTAATGTGGTGTAGTATATGGTAGTGTGAGGTAGTATGTGTTAGTGTGGGGTAGTATGTGGTAGTGTGGTGTAGTAGTATGTGGTAGTGTGGTGTAGTATATGGTAGTGTATGAGTAGTATGTGTTAGTGTGGTGTAGTATGTGGTAGTGTGGTGTAGTATGTGGTAGTGTGGTGTAGTATGTGGTAGTGTGGGGTAGTATGTGTTAGTGTGGGGTAGTATGTGGTAGTGTGGGGTAGTATGTGGTAGTGTGGTGTAGTATGTGGTAGTGTGGTGTAGTATGTGTTAGTGTGGGGTAGTATGTGTTAGTGTGGTGTAGTATGTGGTAGTGTGGTGTAGTAGTAGTGTGTGGTAGTGTGTTTGTGTGGGGTAGTATGTGGTAGTGTGGTGTAGTATGTGGAAGTGGGGTGTGTATGTGTTAGTGTGTGGGGTAGTATGTGATAGTGTGGGGTAGTATGTGGTAGTGTGGTGTAGTATGTGGTAGTGTGGTGTAGTATGTGGTAGTGTGGTGTAGTATGTGTTAGTGTGGGGTAGTATGTGTTAGTGTCGGGTAGTATGTGTTAGTTTGGGGTAGTATGTGTTAGTGTGGGGTAGTATGTGGTAGTGTGGTGTAGTATGTGGTAGTATAGGTTAGTATGTGGTAGTGTGGTGTAGTATGTGATAGTGTGGTGTAGTATGTGGTAGTGTGGTGTAGTTTGTGGTAGTGGGGTGTAGTATGTGGTAGTGTGGTGTAGTATGTGGAAGTGGGGTGTAGTATGTGGTAGAATAGGTTAGTATGTGGTAGTGTGGTGTAGTATGTGATAGTGTGGTGTAGTTTGTGGTAGTGGGGTGTAGTATGTGGTAGAATAGGTTAGTATGTGGTAGTGTGGTGTAGTATGTGGTAGTATAGGTTAGTATGTGGTAGTGTGGTGTAGTATGTGGTAGTGTGGTGTAGTTTGTGGTAGTGGGGTGTAGTATGTGGTAGTGTGGTGTAGTATGTGGAAGTGGGGTGTAGTATGTGGTAGTATAGGTTAGTATGTGGTAGTGTGGTGTAGTATGTGATGTGGTGTAGTTTGTGGTAGTGGGGTGTAGTATGTGGTAGTGTGGTGTAGTATGTGGAAGTGGGGTGTAGTATGTAGTAGTATGTGGTAGTGTGGTGTAGTATGTGGTAATGTGGTGGAGTATGTGGTAGTATGGTGTAGTATGTGGTAGTGTGGTGTAGTATGTGATAGTGTAGGGTAGTATGTGGTAGTGTGGTGTAGTATGTGATAGTGTGGTGTAGTAGTGTGGTAGTGTGGTGTAGTATGTGGTAATGTGGTGTAGTATGTGGTAGTGTGGTGTAGTATGTGTTAGTGTGATGTAGTATGTGGTAGTGTGAGGTAGTATGCACCAAAGTGTGCATTTCTGACAATTCTTTAGACCAATATCGCGGTTTATATTTCTTTTGGAACGTGTTGGTAGTGTGGTGTAGTATGTGGAAGTGGGGTGTAGTATGTGGTAGTGTGGTGTAGTATGTGTTAATGTGGTGTAGTATATGGTAGTGTGAGGTAGTATGTGTTAGTGTGGGGTAGTATGTGGTAGTGTGGTGTAGTATGTGGTAGTGTGGTGTAGTATGTGGTAGTGTGGTGTAGTATGTGGTAGTGTGGTGTAGTATGTGGTAGTGTGGGGTAGTATGTGGTAGTGTGGTGTAGTATGTGGTAGTGTGGTGTAGTATGTGGTAGTGTGGTGTAGATTGTGGTAGTGTAGGGTAGTATGTGGTAGTGTGGTGTAGTATGTGGTAGTGTGGTGATTGATAGTTTACTAAAATGAAGCCCTATAGAAATTTTGAATAAAAAGAAATGACATTTTTCTATAATCCAGGTGATTACTGTCACTATTTAGAGTTGAGCATTAGAGGCTATTTGTTCTAGGAATTGATTTAATTTGATTGATGTGTCTACTTTAAATGCCAATGATGTATGTTTTCATGTGTTCTATTTTTTGATGAACATGGAATACCAGGTGAGCGATGCTGGAACATTGAACCTCTTGTTCTCTTTTTCAATTAGTTAATGGTGAACATTGAAAATTGACAGTAACCATGTTATGTCTATGAACAAGTACAAAAAATATTTGTAGATCTTCTTTTGCAAAATATAGTATTGTGTCCTTCAATTGGACACCTGTGATTAAATAACTGTGTGTGGATATTGTACCTGTAAGGGCTTGCATCAAATGCATAAATAATATTTCTTTTATAGTGTTGTCTATTTCAGAATAATTACATGTATACCAAAGGCCCTGAAATGTCTCATGATAGTATTGTAGTCAGCATAATTAGTGTATGTCAGAATATTCAAACTTGTTTTTCTAGTTATTAATATATCAATACAGATTTATTTCAATCAATTATATTATCTTGAATTCTTGAATTTAGATACTATTGCAACAAAAGCAATTTGAAGAAACTTCTCAAGTAGTAATAGATGTAAACTTTCGCTTCATATTATGGAAACAAGCTTAAGTAAATCACATGTTCAAACAAAGCAAATGCTACAACTATAATCCAACATCATTTCAGATCAATTTTGTATTTACATCAAAAAATTTAAAGATTATGATATACCAACATACCAACTCTTATAAGATTAAACATGTAAAACATGTAAACATTATGAAATTTTAGAAAAACTGCATGTTTGATAAAGATTTAATACATTTTAATATGTTTTATTTAAACTGAAAATTTAACAAGAGACATGCTATCTCCAAAGCATGCACAAAACAAACAAACAAATGTATTGAATTTAACAAATTTCACCTTAACATGGGTGTATGTGTTTCACTGTGATTGGATTGTAATGCTAATTACTGAGATGTACATATGCTGCCAATCACAATTTTGTTTGACTAGAGAGAAGGCAATTGAGGACAATCAAAAGTAGTTGAAATGAATGCCCTAAACACTTTACTAAAGATGTAAATTTGCTGTGAAAATGTTTTATCTTTTCTTCTTCCATTCAACACACTTTTATTCCTGTGAGGGACTATCAACTTTTAAAATGGGATTTCCACAACCAGTAAATGTTCAGCTTGTATTAATTGATTGCAAACTATTGCAAGTTCTTTTGCCACAACCATTGTGTTGTTTGACACGGTAGAGTAAGTCCTGTTTGTGGATTTGCTCTGTGATTTGTTTACTGATAACATTTTATTTAATCTTTCCACACATTTCTCTAACATTGTCACTTACCTCCCTTTTCTGCTTTCAAACTTTACGTCACAACAGCAGATACAGTGATAGAGAAGTTTCAATATTATTTAGACATTGATACCAAAGACTGATATGTGGGACCAGCATTCATGGACAAAATTGTCTGTACATATTATTAACAAAGTTCATTTAAGGTGTTTTTTTATGAAGACTGCTAAGTCTATTTAATTGTGTGGCTAGTGCACCTCCCCGTCTAGATTTTGATTTATTTTATCTTTTTCTATCATTTTGGATTTTCCTCAGTCGCTTCCTGGGTTTCAAAACCAATAGCATCTCTGACAAGTCCTAGAATGACGAAATAGCTGAAACAGCTGTACGATGTAGCATCACCGACGAGTCCTAGAATGACGAAACAGCTGTATGATGTAGTATCACTGACGAGTTCTAGAAGGACAAAACAGCTGTATGATGTAGTATCACTGATGAGTCCTAGAATGGCAAAACAGCTGTATGATTTAGTATCACTGACGAGGCCTAGAAGGTCGAAATAGCTGTATGATGTTGCATCACTGACAAGGCCTAGAATGACGATACAGCTGTATGATGTAGCATCACTGATGAGTTCTAGAAGGACGAAACAGCTGTATGATGTATCATCACTGGAGAAGGCCTAGAATGACGAAACAGCTGTATGATGTAGCAATACTGACGAGTCCGAGAATGACATAATAGTTATATGGTGTAACATCACTGACGAGTTCTAAGAGGATGAAACAGCTGTATGATGTATCATCAGTAATGAGTCCTAGAAGGACAAAACAGCTGTATGATGTATCATCAGTGATGAGTCCTAGAAGGACGAAACAGCTGTATGACAAAGTATAATTCCCTTTTTGCCACTACTGTATCTGATTCTAAATTTTGTATTCAAAAGGTGTTGTTCACTTGTGTGTATTTTGTACAAACGAATTGGAATTGGCAAAGATTTTGTTTAAGTTGAAATGTAGAGCGTTTATTTAACTTATACAGCGTTTATTTAACTTATACAGCAATGTAGAATGTAGAACCAAGCAATGATATCACAGATAAATGACTGTTTTACCTTTATTTGGCTCTATGTATTTTTCAGTGAGTACAGTGTCTAGCAAACAAGGATACCACTGGCATTATATCGTCCGACCTGTGATGGATCCTGTTGATCAGGACGAAATGGAGGACATGTATATACGTACTGTTGACGAAGAGGATGAGATTTCAACTGAGCAGGAGTGGGATAATTCTTCAGACACATTCCCTACTCACGAAGGCGACGAGTCCGTCATAAATCTCCCGGTTGGTGGTGACGATGGCCCATCTTCAACTCTGATAGAAACAGTTGGCCACTTCGGTTGTAGTTTCTGTGGCAAGAAATTCCACCTAATGGAAGACCTACAAATACATTTACATATCCATAACGATCAGACACTTTACAACTGCGAGACTTGCGGTAAAGACTTTACTCATCCGCAGAGCTTATTGAAACACATCAGAGGGCACACGGGAGAAAAACCATATAATTGTTTTGTCTGTGGTAAAGGATTCGGTCTGTCTGGTGATTATCAAAGACACATAAGAATACACACGGGTGAAAAACCGTTCAAATGTGATGTGTGTGGGAAGGCTTTCTGTCAGAAAGGCGATTTACAGAGACACACGCGTATTCATACGGGTGACAAACCATACCAATGTAATGTATGTGGAAATGAATTTGCTCAAGTAGGACATTTGCATGTGCACTATCGTAAACACACAGGTGAAAGACCATATATGTGTGATATCTGTCAAAAAGTATTTTTTGTAAGGGAACACCTGCAAAATCATATAAGAACGCATACAGGAGAAAAGCCATACAAGTGTGGAGTATGTGGGAAAGGTTTCGCCGTTAATGGTACACTACAGATACATCTTAGGACTCATACAGGGGAACGGCCCTATAAGTGCGATACCTGTGGGAAAGGATTTAGTGCTGGTGGGAGCTTACAGGCACATCTACGGGTACACCGAGGAGAAAAGCCATATGAATGTGACGTCTGCCAGAAAACATTTACACAAATTGGAAACCTGCAGCGACATCGCCGAGTTCACACAGGAGAAAAACCATTCAAATGTCACATTTGTGGTAAAGGACTTAGTGAAAATAAAAGTCTGCAGGCTCATCTCAGGATGCATGCAAGACTACAACTGAAAGAACAAACAGCCGTTCCCGAGATTTGTGATAGTTATATTCAAGGTTATCCTGGAAAAGGGGGGAAAAGACCGCAACAAACCAGTAAAGGACACACTGACGTAAGGGAAAGTGTAACATGAAAACCCAAATGATTTTTCTTTAACTTTTTTGTTGCCATGTTGTATAGTCTGATTTTTAGTCTCTTGCATTTTCTAAAATAATTCAAAATATCAATACTCGATACTCCAGGGGTTACGATAGCTTTCGCTCCTTGCACCCATAAAACATCTGATGGCAAAATTGGAGGCACAAACGAAGTAATTTCATTAGTTCAAAGAGAAACATCTGGCCGATCACAGACTGATACGTTTCTTTTGAAGATTACAAAGGAGCGACACCCACCTTCGAAACCATTACAATATACCGTTAGGCGACATCGAAATTCGTTTAATATACATCAAAGGATCAAACTGGTCTTGTTCACGAAGTGTTGCACGTAGAGCCTTCAGTTCGTCATGACAAATTCCATAAACCGAGAACCGAGAGTGATTGTAACCCCAGGAGTATCAGTTGTCACAATAAAAATGTAAAGGAAAACATTCTTTCAAATCGTCCATAGTAACAACACGCACATTATCATGCAATCCCGGATGTATTAACCAGGAGAAAATATGTAAAGTTACCAGGATTATGATATAAATTTCAACTATATGTAAATGCTGATCGTGCCATCCTTGGAGAATACGGTAGTTCAAAATTATAGCTTTTATGTTGGTTGGTCAGTTTTATGTCCCAAGAACAACAGTAACATTATGCACGTACACAACTTTTTCCACCTATCTGTACACTGTAGTTAAATTGAAGCAATTACAACCGAGACGACATTGAGTACCATACTCTGGGTAGATGTTGGATTTTGGCAGCACTTTTTCCGCCAAACAGTATGTAAGGGTTAAACTACATGTAAACATTCCAATTCCTTTGTCATCCTCCATCCAGCTCAGAATGTATGATCAGTATAACTGTCCATTGGTGTAGAGATATCAATATTGACTAAATGCTTTATAAATATTAGAATAATGATAGAGACATGATGCTGCCATTCATGTTACATCCCAACCATTCTACTTTTTTAATCCACGAAGTGATGTTTCAGCATCAGATGATAACTGAATTTGTGACCAATGTATTCTAATGAAAAATTCTCGTATTAAGTATATTTTTATGAATGTTTTCTTCTTTTCTCGTCCCTTAATGGTAATGGTCCTAGATTTTAGAACACTGCAACCAATATCACAATTTCGACTTCAGCCTTTTATATGACCATATCAACACTTGTTATTTTTTTGTGTTTTCACCAGTGGCCAAAAATGTATATACCATTTTTTTGTGAATAGATCCAAGTCCCATTCCTATGTTGAAATATAGTGATTAGAATTCTCACATGCTACACTTTTGATACATGTTTTACCCTACAACTACTATTACCCACAACTAGAATAATCGCCTTCTTTAGAATATTTGAATAATAAACAAAAGGTCTTAAATTTCTAATCTGTTGGGATAGCTCTGATCGTAAGTTTCACAGGAAACAGAAATAAGCTAGTAGAAAAATGAAGCAGGCTATTTGTTTAACGTAAGAGCCAGTAGCCAGTCTAATACATAAAAACACTAATATTGTGATTTGATAATTAGTTTTGCCATATTCAATTAGTGGTTTAATTTTTTTTTAAATTGACACCTTTTAAGTTCGCTTGATTGTGGAAATGTTAGTATACAAATGAAGTAGGCATGTGCTGAAGATACACACGTTTTCTGTGCCCGAGACCAATCTACAATAATTTCAATTAGGTTAAAAATAAATTTCCATAATATAATCGATATCTGTAGAATTTTGGTAACAATTACATGTACAAGTTTAAAACCTGCATAGCTTTGTTTATACATATATATATATAGTTTGTGAACATTGTGTCAATGTAACATCAAGGCATGTACATACATGTGTACATGATGTCTATTACAAGAAACACAGGTCGAAAACATCCCTCTCAATAGACATGAAGCAAACTACAGATCAGCCAGTCGAAAAAGAACTGATATTATTTTAATTTCTGTTTTGTTTTAGAATCAATATTGATTCTAATGCCATGTCATTCATGTTTGATAGGATGTCAGATTGGTTTTTAATCATGACAAAGAAGTATGCTTTCCAGATCTTTAAATATCCATGCATATATTGTATATGTATGCGTCCACCCTGTGGGACATCAGTTATTGATTTTTTTTAAAGTTGTAAAAAAATTCATTGTTATGTTATGATTAAATGAATAAAACTTATCGTGGTGATGCTTTTGTTTTGAATATTTTTTTCATTAATTCTCACTAGTTCTTTTAACCAATCTAGTTGCTAGATGATGAATTATGAACAAAGTAGACTTACACGGAAATCGCTGAAAAAGTATGAAGAATAAAGCCAGTTGTGCCGGGAACCGCTTAAATCATCGATGACATCCCCCATTTAAATGTTGGTCAATCCAAGAAAGTAATGTCACGTTCCCAAATGAAAACAAGGTATACAACTTAAACCAACAGTCAGACTAACGATCATAAAACTTGCACAACTTCATATCACAAAGTAAATCTAATTTTCCCAATCAGATCACTATGATGACCATAAATATGCATCGACCCACATTTCTCGAAACGATGTGATTTTAATGCTGATTTTCAGGAGGTCATCACTAAGTTATGAGATGTAGATCAACCAGGTCTGTAGGAATACGCAGTGGCAGTGATTTAGGTAAGGGAATGCTAGAAGCGGATGCTGGAGTCGAGTCCTCAACAAGTCGTTACATGAGCAGATTCAGTTTAAAAAGTTGCGCTGCGTTCAGCCCAACAGACTGAAAATTGGTCATTGCGGGGATATTTGGCCAAACTATTCGACTTGTTTGCATTGTTATTACGATGCAGTATTACAGGTGAGCTAGGTGCAAGTATTGAACCAGAAGAGCTTTATACGATTTTCGAATATGGTGTGACTCGGGGAACTGGGCTTAACTACAAGGCTAATCCTACCATAACTTAACCTGTTGTTTTTAGGTGTATTGACTAGACAATCCCGCATGTATTCAGTAGTTCTTTGGTGAACATAGTTAAGTATAGAGGATAATTTGTCCCTTAATGTCACATAAATAGCATGTTTGTGATCTTTTCAATGATGTAACCGTTGTACCTGTAAGCTGGAAAGATACTCTGTGATTAAAAAAAGAACAAAAGTGTCGACATTTCAACATTTTCTTAATTCAATCTCGAATTCTACGAAACGTTAGTAAGGTTTAAGGATACCCGTTAAAAACACCATGAAAATGACCAGATGTTCCAGAAGGGTAAGCGTTCTTTGTCGGCCACTGTCCGAGCGGGCTAGCCGTCAAACAAAACAATATTGTTGATAAAAGATAACGACTAAGATAATCTACATTCAGCACGGTTTTGAAATTTTACGCATGAAGAAAAAATCCAAAGTATCAATTTACATCAGTGCAAGTATAAAACACGAAATCTTAACTCACCATTTATTAAGTAGCAAACGATAAAGATACACTTATGAACACAATGGACTGTTTAGGGTCAGAGGTCCTTAGTCTGCTGTCAGATACACCTTAGATTTACTTTAGTTAGCAGTAAATCGTTTTGACCAAACGCAATTCTATAAAACATTGGAAATGGGAACAGTTGACCCCAGTTTTTAAGAACATTTTAGTTAAAATAAAAGAATGAAAAAAGTCATCCTGATCAGTAGGAGATGAACTTACAATTTAATAACTACCACAGGGAATTGTTTCATGATCCAGAAAAATAGAACACATCTTGTCTAAACTATATTGAGCAAAAAAGAAAATAACGTTTTCAATAAACATAGACTTGCATATGGCTGTTATTCAGGCGAGTATTTAGAAGCATGCACATAAAAAATATTCCACTTAAATGGTTCATTAAAATAGTTTGTATAAGACATTTACAGCGTATGTACTTTTAAACAAAATCATTTTCTTCTGTAACGAAACTTCTAACTGACAACCAAACCTACAATATCGCTCCATGTGCGTTTGTCTGACTTGATCCTGTTGTGCATCGTTCCTAATCTCACGGTATTCTAAACATTTAACGTCGATTAACTCTAGCAAGGACTTAATATTAGCACACCTATTTCTAATGTTACATGTTAGTTGTTGCTAATAAAATGCACTTCAAAGTTACGTTCTAGCGTGCGTTTGGGTGGATGTGTGTTAATTTGCAACTTCAACCTCTTTCATCATATTGTATTGTGTCACATCATTATATATATACAGTGCAGTGTAGTTTGAGGAGTTTCTAGGTTCTGTTTCAACATTTTCAAATATGGATCAAAATGAAGAAATATCACGTGATTCTAGCATTTTTCTCACAATTTAAGCATGTCGTAATATGACCAATACATGATTGATCTGACGACATCAGGTGGGAAACATGAAGACGTATAACATAAAACACTCATATCAGTTTTGGTCGGTCAAGACCGAAAGACGATTTACAGGATCGAGCAGAATCGGGCGGTTATATGTAGAATAGGTTTCCCTATTCATAATGTGTAACATATGATGATATCAATGCAATAGAAATTCATAAAAATCATTGAAACGGCACTGTTCTACCCCGATTGTGCCCGATTCTGTCCGATTCTGTCCGATCCTGTCCGATCCTGTCCGTTTCTGCCCGACCCTTCCCGATTCTGTAAATCATCTGACCCCTTGTAACCATAGTCAAGCAAACGTTTGTAATGAACGTAAATGTACCCGGTGTAGCTATGGTACTTGCGTAAACAGTACTGCAGCTGGTTTTGGCAAATGTCGGTTCAGGTATTGATTGGTCATAGGTAAGATGAAATTATTGCTTCTCCTATGATAAATTATCCACTTAATGAGAAGACGCGTTGGAGTTACAATGCATAATCGCAAATCCAACGATATTCCCTATTTCTTTAGTGCATATAACCATATATGCATGTACATGTAATATCGTATATGTATGATAACAGCCCAAGATATTGATATATATACATGTAAATATCGAAGTCCGTTGTTTGATGAATGTTCATATGTTAACAGTTGTAAGTAAATAAATTGAAGTTTGTATACACGTACTTACAATGAATGCAGGACATTAACGAACTGAAACCGGAAAAAAAGTAGATAAATTCCACTTATATTTACACTTACCAAATGTTGATTGAACTACATGTACACAAATACGCCCATAAAAAAACAGATTTCAGAACTTGACGAAGAGTTGAAAACAGGTGCATCGGCAGGAATCATAACTGTGTGAAGAGACTCCTACAAATAAATACTTACTATGTTTTCGATACTCGTTTACATTGACAGAGTAAGGTAACAAATTGTCAAGATGAATTTCAATAATATCCTGTGAATATGCAAATTCCCTAGGTCCTGTCAACATGTACTATACAGAATATTTGATATAGTATATAGAATGTACCATACATATACATATAACATGCCTGCTGATAAATCACCAAGTCACTGTTTTGAAGAATTACAAATAAACACATTTTCCTGTAATGGCCCCATCCTCCACTTTTGAACCAGAGATAATGAATGTAGATGTTATCCCTAAGGGCTTATTGAAGGATAAATGTTATACATGATATGAAATAGTGTTACGTAAAACTTAGTTTGATTAATCATAACCTGTCTCCCTTGTTGAATACCTAATTAGGTGAGTGTTTCTTGTTCATTTTTAGCCACAGCCATTTCACTATTTATTCATATTTGACCATCTGCTTATTACACTCATGGAAGATGCCCATGAATTAGTGGTCATGTCACTGGCCTGTTGTTCATGTCTTACAGCCATTTCATAAATATCATAAGACACACGAGTAATAACACTATTGTGATGTCATAAATATGTCATGTCTTGATGATGTCACATGATTGTCTCGGTAGTGAAAATGTACCATCCATGTTAAGATAAGTCTGTCCTATAGGGAAATTGATTTGAGAGTTGTCACCTATTTTCAGAGTTTTTTTATGATAAATAGAATCTTAAACTTATGTTAATGATTTGCAATCTCTTGGCATATAATTTGATATTTCATTTGCATAATGAAGACTGGTGACATCATATTATTCAACTTATTTAATTAATTCCATAATTAAATTGACACAAGTATAAATTAGATCCTCTACATGTACGATAATTGTTTTTCAATATTTCAATGAAAATTTTCTTTTATAGATGTCAGACTGAAATGAAGACATATGGGTTGTGGGTCATCCTCTTCAAACACTGCTGTAGTAGCTACATCTAACAGCAACTTGAAGGTCAACGACCAAATTACAACAAAAACTCAGTCAGAGAACATCAAAGACCAGGAAAGAAATCAGATAGATCGATGTTCTGTTGATAAAGAAAACTTCTCCACAGATCAAAGTTCAAAATTAAAAAATCAGGATATAATTCACACAAATCAAACATCAGACATGTTTTCAGTCAACTGTCCAAATCAAGGAGAGAATGAAAAAGAGGTTATCAATGAAAATGAGAATCAAGATAAAAACAAAAAGACAGATACCACTGAAGATGAGAAGGAGGCAGAGAAAACTATGGAAGAAGACGTAGATTCAGCAGGAAACAAAGAAAAAGTGAAAAAAGTACCACTGACTGAAGAAGAAATACAAGAAAAAATCCAAAAGACTTTTGCTGATGCAAAACACACATGGGGTCCTTTGCAGGACAAAAATCTCCTCATTGATGCAGAAACAGGGAAATGTAATGCAACATTCAGAAGAATAGCCAACAACACATTTTTATATCATTTTAGATTGAAAGGTTGTCCTTTACATGTCCAGACAGAGTTTAAAAGTGATTACTACCGCCTCATGGTGGCAGAGGATGCTGTAACAAAATTCTGTGACATGCTGGTCTATATTCTAAAGCAAGGATACGAGGAAGAAGATGGTGAGATGGATGCAGTGATGTATAAACCATTGGTTAATACATTCGGGGTATTAACTAATTTTACAGACAATCAGATACAGAGGGCGGACATTGTGGCAAATCATCCAGAATTTCTCAACGTAATTGCCGAGAATTTAAAGGCATGGACAGAGCCCCATGTGTGTGGTGAAAAGATTAGTGTAAGTACAGGGGTCAATTCATAACATCAGTGATGCTATTGATATGATTTTTCATTATGTTGAGACACATATCGGTGTATCATTACATAGAACTATATGTAGCCAGATAGTTTGATTGGTTGGCTCAGTTGAAGTGGTTGTGTCCTTGGTCAAGACCCTAATTATTCTGGATAGCATGTGATGGGCCTCTTATGTGTTGTTCTATGAGATAACCACCAGCTAGTGGAATAAAACTCTGCTTCAAAATGACCCTTGCTATTCACTGGGAGAAAAACCCAGCAAACACACAAATCAAAGAGTTTAAACTCAGCATTTCAAAATGAAATACTTTTGAAACATTATCTTAAGTAATAAATTTTATGAAAAAACTTATGCTGACCCTAAGAAAACTTAGCAACTAGAACTGACACTCTTAACACCACCAGGGAGGCTAGGTTTCCTCCAGCAGCTGAATGTCATTGGTCTTGATTTATTTTCTGTGTTAACCCTATTAGGCTGTTTCTCTGATGGTCAAATTGTTTTTATTTTCTCTCTGCTGTTTTTAATCCTTTTCAAAAGTGTTTATCACTATTTTAATCTCTGTTTCAGGTGGCACGTAGTAAAGTTGTAATCAGCAGTCCTTTGTCGATTCTTCACAACATTGCGATGCAAGACCAGAACATCAGCAGGTTGCAAAGCCTAGGATTTGTAGACTTGTTGAAGCCATTTGTGAACTCACCACAAGAGAAAAATCGACTTTCTGCTGTGGCAACATTAGCAGACATTGTTGATGAACAGCAGAGCGAGATTATTCGGGCAGATGAAGACATAATGAAATTCATCAAAAGTTGTTTGATACGGGCAATGAAGGACAAGAGCAGAAGGACGATTGGATGGAGCCCACAGGAACTAGCCAGAAGTATGTTGATACTTGTATTACATCATATGCTTTATTCCTCATGTTCAATTATTGTGATCCTATTTTGTTCGTGTGTATTCTATCTACACTATCAGCCTTCAAGAGGAAGGCAAAAAAAAATTGACTTCAGTTTATTCATACAAGTTAAATATTAGGAAATTTTCTACATTACATACAATTATGTACAATTTTACTTGTCAGCAAGAAATGAAGCATTCTGTCAAGGTATTTATTATGTCTAAAAGACTTTCTGCACTTTTCTATTGCACGGAAGTTTTAAACACAGGAAATCACCACTCTTGGAAATTCTAAAATCTTGGCAGATATGATGTAATCTAACATACTTACTGTATATATCAGTTGGTTACCATAGATACCTTATTGTAAACAGTAAAACAAAAACATTAAGAAAATAAAAGTAAAAGCTGAAAGGTGGCCTCTCAATATCTTTTATAGTCATAGATGTTTAATGCAATTTTTTGAGAAGTACCGAATGGATCTTTCCGTAATTTATTCTTTAGGTTTCACTTGGTTCCTAATTGTCCCCTATTCATTTTAGAACTGATAAAAATATATATCTATTAGGCAGCCATCTTGAAATTTGACTCTGAAAAGTGTTTATGGTTATTTCTTGAGAAGTACAGTACGGATCTTTCTCAAATTTCATATACTGGCTTCCACAGGTTCCAAAGTGTACACATTTGATTTTGGAACCGATCAGAAAGACAAAATGGCTGACAAATAGCCATATTGAATATTGACTATTAAAGATATTTATTGCTATTTCTAGGGAAACACATTGTGAACCTTGTTAGGATTTTAATTGTTGGTTTTGGTGGTTTCAGCTGTAAGAAGAATTGCTCGAAATGATGCCAACAAACGGGCTTTGGTAGAGAAAGGGATAATCCCTCCACTGGTCAAGCTGGCAGAGAGTGAGGATGTCTTGGAACAGAGAGGTATGTAACCTATTACAGCAAGATTAAGGATTTTTTTCTTTTACATGTTATGCATATGTGAAGTATTTTGACAAGTTTTTGTGGTGTTCTGTAAGTTTTTAAATGTGAGAGATTATTGAATAAACAAATTATCAATTTGCTGTGGAAAAAGGAAACCTAAAGCAATTATTTGTTTTATCAGTTTGACCAGGAGTGATAGGACATGTGCTAATTGTAGGAGAAATAATTTACAGGATGTTTTAAAAAGTTATGTGTGTTAGTTTGAAGACAGATTCAACTTGACTTTTGTGAGAAATATCACACTTGTATGAGAAAAAAAATCTTCACCCAGAGGCTGTTGGTGCTATGTGGACCCTATCCTTCGATGAGGAAAATCAGAAAGACATGATCCAGGATAATGAGTGTAAACCAGTGGACACTTTCATACGCCTGCAGCATTCACCCGATAAGGAAGTAAGAAAAACTTGCAATGGTGCACTATGGACAATGCGAGACAGATTGGCACAATCAGAGAACTACAAAGACGTTGGTAAGTTGTGTAGTGTTTTTTAAAATATGCTTTAACAACTTGATAATGGTGACAAGAATAGCTGAGACTCAATAACTAAAATTGGTGAATGGAAATGGCTGATATTCTAAACTACATAGTTCACAGAAAAAAACCCGAAACTGAACAAACAAGTTTTCAGGGGTACTTATTAGTTCTCCCACAGGGAAACATGGAGGCATATAGTTTTGTGTCTGTCCTTTCCGTCCATCTACTCTCCTGTTCAAAGTAGATCACTTTGACCTAAATTTTGACCTTTGACCTACATCAAAGAAAAAGATTGTATGGTCTCTGTCTCCTGGAACATCACATTTGGGATATATAGATTTACCTTGGCAATACAGTGTGGTTCTTGTAACATCCATTTTGTCAATTTTACTGTAAATATGTGTCTATCAAAGGATGGAAATTAGGGCCATACATTAATCAAAGATGAATACTTGTATTTTCTATCAGCAAGACTGCTACAGATAGTCATAAGCGTCTTCCTGTCATAGTCACAAGTTTATTAGTTTGTATTGTAATTTACATCGTGATATTTTGTTACCATGCAATCAAGAAGTAAAAACTACTTGACAAAGTATTGCTATTCCTAATAGTCTCGTTATCATATGTGAGATATACTGATTTGTAACCACATGAAATGTTAGGAGACAAAATGCTTATCACTCTCTCTTTTTGTGAACAAATTCTGTAATAGTGTGCTATAATGGTAATTAAATCTGCCAGTGCCCTTTTGATTAAAAGACTAATATGATTACCTCTCTTTATTATAGAATCTGGTTACAGAGCATGCTTCTTTAATTGTAGAAATTATTTCAAGGGTTTGATTTCTTTACTCTTTTGGGTAAAACAGATACAAGAATGAATGGAAATGGTTTTTATAAATGAATTGTTGAAACCAAAAATGGAATTAGCTGGATCGGTAAGGGAATTTTATATCAAAATGCTACTTTTAAAAAACAAATGATATAGAAAAAGTTCACCTAATGTAGAACTTTAATCACAATAATGTCTTTATCAATCCTGTTCATGTTTTTCTATAGGACAAAAATACATGTCTCCCCAGGGGAGTCCTGCCCATGTTGCTTTAAGTGGTAAGGAAGAATTCAAGTCTGAAGGCCATATCATGATCAGCTACCAGTGGGGTAACCAAAACATGTTAAAGAGGATCCGTGATGGTTTACGTGCCAACGGATTCAAAGTTTGGATGGACATTGATGACATGGAAGGATCTACACTGGATGCAATGGCACGTGCTGTGGAAAATGCCGATGTTGTTCTTGTCTGCTTTTCACAGAAGTACAAAGACAGTGACAACTGTAGAGCTGGTATGTCTACCTTTAGATTGAGGGAGATTATTTGTTCCGTAGTGTATTGATAAAAATCAAAGCAGTTTGAAAAAAATGATCATAAATAGATATAATTTTTTTTTTTACTTTCAGAGGCTGAATATGCTTTTCAAAAGAAGAAAAAGATTATTCCACTAAAAATGGAACAAAACTACAAACCAGATGGCTGGCTAGGTTTTATCTGTGGTGCAAAACTTTTCTTTGATTTTGGGGGAAAATATTCCTTTGAGTCTCGTATGGAGGGTTTAGTGAAGGAACTCTTTTCTAAACAAAACAAGGATGTGACTGACGGTGTCATCATTCCAGAGACTGTGTCTGTTGTGGCTGGTGCACCTGTGAGTATTTATGTTCAATCATAAGACTTAGTGTGAAACAAAAGCCATGATAAATGATAAAGTAAAGGTGTTTCTGTAGTCGCTTCCTAGGCTTTAAAATTTCGGCCCCTAGCATCACTGACAAGCCCTAAAAGGAGAAGACAACTGTATGATGCAGTTTATTTCATTGTTTGGCTGTAACTAACTCTAAAGATGTATTAGAAGGTGCTATTCACAAACTTCAGTGTAGGAATCTTTTCACCAACACAAAATCAAAGCAATGTATTTTTTAAGACTATATCATTGTATGTATATCCATACATCTAATTAAACAAAAATGGTGGACTGAAGTCAGCCTTCAAAAGCAGTGAGTTCTTTTTCCACAGTCCAGAAACTGCAGTTATGTATCAGACAAGTTGTAAACAACTAGACAATTGTTTTGGAATAGCAGTGACCATTTTTCCTTGTAAATAATCTAACTGATCTCGGCAGATTTCTGAAATTCATTTTGATATCATATTCATTTCTATAATATCAAAATCAAATGTTCAGAAAATAGTGATTTTTGAAAAAAAAGAAATAAAAGATATGATTGTACACTAATGATCTTACAAGCTAATTAACAAACTGTCTTATATTTGCATAATTAAGACTAACAATGATATAACAGAATTTTGATTTCTAGGGTACTGGGGGTTGAGGTTATGATACAATTTAATTGATGCCCTTGTGAGAACATTTGATAATTTTTATTTTTATCTGTTGCTTTGAGGAAATTATGATCACAATGACCTCTTTACCTCCTCAGGTTGCCAAGGATCAAACTGTGGCGCCTGTGTACAGTAGACCACCACCTGCTGGTGTCAGCCATGTTTCCATGGCATCAGTGGATTCAGTGAAAAAGTGGAATGACAAAGATGTTGACAAATGGATGGCAAAACACAGCCTATCTGTGTAAGTACAGGTTCCAAACATTGTATGACATGGCTGATTTGCTGTCCCTATGGCATTACTTGAATCTGTAGTATGCTTACATATTAGTTTGCATAAGGAAATCCCATGCATTTGAAGTAACAAATAAACCAGAAAAGGACAGAGAGAATGACCAGTGTAGCCCTGTTAGAAAGAGACTTTTTTAGACTTTGGAGTTCGTGGTTGGAATCTCATTCTTGTATTTGATGGCATGACATGATCCATTGATTTTTTGTAACACAATTAGATGTTTGGTCATGACAACCCATCACACACAATAGAAGATTAGAAACTCACACTTCCATCGAAATCTGCTTTCTTGAATGTGAGTTTAATTCAAAATCAAATTTGAAGTTAAATCTTTACATCAAACCAATATCCAAATTTAAGGTACATCAATATACCAGAGTTGATTTCCTTTTGATCAGCCACTGTATCTCAGTGGATTAAATCTGTTTTCAGTGTTATTTGTAACTACCATAACGTACCAGAAGGTCACACACTTAATCTTCGGTCAAAGCACCCACATCGGAATAGTCAAGCTGTAAAATATCAGTTTTCTAAATATTTTTGTTATGTTATTGTTACAGGCAACATGTAAAAAAGATGACTGGTTTAGAAATAGCGTTCCTGATGTTGCTCAAGATGGAGGTAAGTGTTGATGGAAATAGTTTTAAATTAAGCTACATGCATATAAATATATACTAATCATGTAATTGTCCTTCTCCAGTGTAATACACCCTTTACACAACAGTTTGTTATGAAACTTACGTAATATAACCTATTTGAGCAGTGATTGGAGGTAACTTTTTGTGACACTATGTCTTCGTGTCATCATACATACTGGAACATCACTAAAGAAATAGATTTATAGAATATCACTAACTAGTGTTATAAAATGCTTCTATTTTCCTATTCAAGAAACACAAGATGCAAATATTTCTAGATTCTTTTTCCAAAAGTGAGTATAAGGACAACACATTTCAATAGTTCTACCCTCCATACTGTATGACATGTTTTCCAGTTGAAGAACAAACAATACAAAAATCATTTTTGTTTTTTATTTCCAGTCCCCAGATTTCTTCTACAAGGTTATAACTGACACTCTGAAGATCACAAATCTTCTAACTATTGCACAGATCAGATTCGCATTGGATGACACAACGCTCTAGTCATTGTTTGGATCTGAGCAGGTGATTTGGGAGTTTCCACACATCCCTATACATTAAGATGCCGAATGGGCCTGCAACATTCCCCACTATTCAATGATTGTTGAAAATAGAATCTGTGTGTATCACAAATAAATTGCATACACAATTTTAACTAACTTCCTCAAGAAACAGCTTCAAATACTGAACACTATACCATGACAGTAAAGACCTTGATTATAGGTAAATTTCTTGTTTTCCTCTAATTTGTCAGACTTAGACCTAAAATACCTATCAATCAAATACCCTGCTTCACAGACTTTTGGTTTACCAGGAGAAGTCTTTTACAGGTTTTAACAATTTGACCCCTGTGACCTTGAATATAGTTCAAGGTCATTTCGTTTTCATTCATCAAAGGAACCTATCAGCCAAACGCCCTGCTTCTGCGCTTTTTGGTTAGTAAAATGCTTTAACAAATTCCACCCCGTGACCTTGATGAAGGATCAAGGTCATTTCTTTTCTCAAACTTTATTTGGCTTCCTTCCAGCCACCCACAGCCAATTACCATAGCATTTAGTCTGTTGGCTATTGAGAAAAAGTTGTTTAAATTGAAAATTTGATACGGGATGGATGATAGACTCCAAACCACGTTATTAGCTTACTTAGCCCATCAGGTCAGGAGAGCTGATATATTTTTTTGTAAAATACGAAAGTGGGTGTTTGGGTTTATTTGGACATTTGCTATTTTTTTATTCATACCTATATTAATTGTTCAAATATGATTAAGGAATGCTGGAGGTTTTCAGGGGTTATATATATCAGTTTTTAGAGGATGACATATCTTTTCCGTAAAAAAAAAAATAAAAAATAAAAGTGGGCATTTTGGTTCATCTTGACGTTTGCTAGTTCAAATTATCTAAGGTGCTTTGAAGAGATGTTAAGGTTTGGCATTAAATTGACAATAGTTTTATTTCATTTCATACCGATTTTTTTTAAGTTTTCTATACCACGAAAAATAGGTATCTTTAAATTATATCAGTAGAAAAAATGCTAGTTCATATTATGAATTATATGAGAAATATGTTGTTTCCAGGTTTAAGATTACAGCAAAAAGTGGAATCATCGGGGTTAAAAAAGAATTAAAAATAATATCCGTTTCCATAATTCTTACTCTCGGTGATCTGAACCAGAAAAGGATTTTTTTCTTTATATTGCAAGATTCATGTAGTTTGTAATTGATGACACCAGTACCAGTTTGGGATAATTGTCAATTGTTTTTAGGAGTTGTGGGACCATTTTCATGAAATGTTGTTGATATTGGGATTCAATAAAATCCAAATAAGTTTACAGTCTAAATGAGCTAATTTACTACTGTGCTTACGCAAATACAATAATCGAAGGGAATATGAATGTTCCGAGCATTGCCACTTGCCGTTGTAAGCAACAGATATTATGTTGGTAGATTGTTGTATTAGCATTTTGCAGTAGAATGTTTGTTTTGAATTTTTGTTTCATAATCGTTATTTTACTAGTTCGTTTAATATTTGTATCTATCCTACTTAAAGTGTCCTGGTAGCCATAGGAACCAGAGAGGGTTATAACTCTCCATTTAAAAAAAAGAATAGTTATATCGATTTAAGTGTAGGTGCTGTCGATATCATGTTTTAAAGGGTTGTTATACTGCATGAATAATTATGTTATATATACATATATATATATTGACAAACTTGACAACATTAATATTAACAAAGAAAAATTCACCACATTACAAGTATCGTACACCGAGATAAGAAAAGTACCATCCTGTTTCTAAGTATATCAATTGCTAATAATGCAGTCCATTTAGTGCACTTTGCTGTTCCATCGCGTCACACCACCTTCAACATTGTCAGGTACATCTTTAATAGTATATATATATATAGTAACAGTAACAGTAACATACATGTACATAAGAACACGGGAACTTGCCACAAATTCCAAGCCCACGGTCCACATACATGTTTAGTGACAATGGTTGTAACTTCCAAGAAACGAAAACTGAATATCCTGTTATAAATTATATAGTAGGGACTTCGCACAAATTTCCATATTTGTCCATAAATGCCCATATATGTATTGTACAAGTATGTGTTACTTTCAGATCTATGACCTTAATAATATATATATCAATAGGGCCGTAGTAACATGTACAATACATATGTTTACAGTTGGATGTGAATTCCTGTTCCTGTGTAGAAGAATATTATGTAATCTATGATAGGATATTCCTACTTGTATATATATGACGATGTTTACGTTAACTACTTTGGTTATTAGGAGAACTATTAGGGTTTTTTTTTTGTTGTTTTGTTTTTTATATGTTTCTTATTATTCTTCTTCTTCCGTATCTATGGGTTCGTAGTCTTTAAAACGGTAAGGGAAAAGCACGCAACCGATATAGTATGCCATGGAAGTACATCTGAACAGAGACGTATATATCACATATACGTCTCTGATCTGAACTTGTTAATGCCGCGTTTAAGGTAGGTCAAAAATCCAATATGGCCGCCATGACCCAATTACCGGAATTTCTAAAAACAACATAAACTCGAAAATTATTTGTCCAAAATTTTGCTACAATTATATTTTATGTAGATGAGGATCATATCTAATTTTTTTTCTCTTCATGTTAATGGAAATTCTCTCAAATAAAAAAGCTCGCCAAGGAGTCAAGGTCACCTAAAAATAGAAAATGATAATTCTTATTTTTTTTTCGATTTTTTTACAATGCAGAATGTCAATCGGATCATTTTAGTGTCTACATTTCTTCTGTGACGTCTTTTACGTTTTATTGTTATTGTAATATTTAAGGTATGAACTAACGCTTTACAATGATGATAATGGGTACTTGGTAACTATTGTATACATATATTGACGTCTAAGTGTCCAAAATGGTTATCCGGACATTATATGATATTTTAAACTTAATAACATTGTCTTTGTTTTAAAGGTCCCATGTATGTGATGCATCTTTTGTTATATGTTTGCGTCGTTTTAAAGAGACGCGCTAATTGCCTTAATAATGACAGTTTACTGTCTGCACTGTAATTATTACTTCGATGATCATGTAGGGGATTTGGGAACAACTTTTACACAAGGTTAGCGTACATGCTGTAACAGTGTTAGATCATGTTCTGAATTGTATAATGCTATGACAATAAATCAATACCAGTCAAACATTTAGGATATCGTAGTATCCATTCTCTGTATCAAGACTCAGAATATACACATGTACTTAAAATAGTAGATATTTGAAAATTACGAAATTCATTGAATTATAAGACAAGAGCACCTCCCCATCTTGATTTTAACATTTTGAATTTTCCTCAGTCGCCTCCAAGACTTAAAAATTTAGTCCCTTAACATGACAGACGATTACCAGGAGGAAGAAACAGCTGTATGATACAGTTAATTCATTGTTTGTCTCTGCTGTATCTTGCTCTAAATTATCATGTCTGGCCAAATTTTTTTTACAATAAGGAACGTGGTAATACCCAAAGCATGTATATCTGGTAATTATCGGAATAACTATGTCTTATCTATGTATTTTACCCGCCAGGGGTTCGGAATCGGAGATTTTATGCCATTAAAAAGACTTCAGGAAAGAGCATTCTCCTTTTGTCTGACAAATTCAGCATGTAAGTGTACATCTAAGCTGTTCTCGGTAGTGGAATTCTGAAAGTAGTAAATATTTCTGAGATTTGTATCTGATATTGGGATTTATAGTCCCCTTAATAGATAGGGAGAACTGCCTAATATGACGTATGGTGTACATTCATTTATGTACAGTAAATATGGCGATGTTTTGGTTTTTATGGTTTTGAATTATCTATGTATTGTAACTTATTTTGTACCTATGTTATTTTACATTGATGACACTTAAACTGTAAGAATAGATATTTTTTATTTTATGAATAGTTAAATTTAATCAACACATTATGCTAAAGAAGAATGTTAATTACTTTTAGTATTATATATTGTTTTCTCGTCCTCAGAATCTCAACAGACTCTGCTTTTGATATTTGATACACTACATATACATAGTGTCACGGGTTTCCGATGATATATTTTCTTTGTATACTTGTAAACCGATTTAGATGAACGTTGGTATCTTTATATATGCATTTAATAAACTGCTTTTTACTTACTCTTATATATTAAAATAAATGTTATTGTTCTTCAGTTGTAAACATTCCATATTTCGTTTGGAAAACATAATTCAATTTATATGTAGGGTTTTAGGCAACAGTTTGTGATTTTTGTTTGTCCAGACTGTGTGTTACACTTAGGCTTAATGTTGATTTCATACTGTATACAAATATAAATCGTTTGAATTACAGTCAAATAATTTGATCTCTCTTTTGATAACAATTTAAATTTCTCTGTTTTAGATGTAAACGTTTCCAAGCAGTCTTTGCTTTCTTTTACTCGATGAAAATAAGCAAAATTTTAAAAAATGAAATTGAAAACAGCGTTTGATACAAACATAATGAACATGAAACCAGTTTAATCTGGAAACGTGTTTTGATATAACATCCATGAACACAAAATAGAAATAGACACGGGAACTTCAGTCTGTATACAAAACACAAAAATATGATTCCATACGTAGGGCAGCTAGCACAATGTTATACTATATATGTGATTATATTTTCTTATCATTTGAAAACTGTTAATCAATTTTTAACATGTATCTCGTTTTTATGAAAAGTCACGTTGTTCTTTATGTTCATGAAAATAGCTTTTCAAACATATGGTGAAAACCTTACGATTTTAGTGTTTCATTGACACATGCCGTGGTGCCATTGACATCTAAGCGTCCAACTTGACAAACACATACATATATTTAAGTTAGATAATGTTGACAGAAACTATTGAACGTCTTATATTTATTGTGTGATTTTAGCTTGTTACAGCGTTTTCTGTTCTAGTGAAATATATATATATTTATATGTATAGGCAGGAATGATAATAAATTGTTATTGTACTGACACACTGTCTTTCTTTAAACATGAAGTATAGTTTCAAGAAGAAAGATGTATGCTCTTTCTGGGTTCGTGAACGCACACTTAAGTACTGAGTTATACGTATGCGCACCAGTCCGTCCAGTTTAAACTATTTGAAGTATTCACAACATTATCACACCCTTTGCTAGTTGTTTGAAATGTTAAAGTACCTTGAAAACATTACAATTTTCTGCCATTTTCTTGAATCGAAGTCGTTCGCAGAACAGCCAATCGATTCAACAGTCTGTATTGTACATATACTTTTATTTCATTCATTAAATATTTTGGCCATGTTTAATACTTGTTAAATAAAAGCGGTTTACTAACTTTGTTTCATGTTTTTTTTTTTTTTTTTTTTCATAACGACCCCATTCCCCATTAATTGTAATTGTAATCTCCGCCCGTCCGATCTCATTACGTTGCACCCATTCCGTATCAAACCTTGATAACCAATCAACAGATTTGCTTAATATCGTAGCATCTTGTTTTATGCTCAATCGTATTAAGATGGTCATTGGTCAAGCTTAAGGGTTCAAGGGTCACTTTGACAACTTTTGGAAAGTGAGCATGCATGGGAGCAGGGAAATGCATGTCTTAAGACATTTTCTAGTCTGTTCGTAAATAAATTGTTGCAATGATTCAAAATTGATTAACATGTTGGGACTAAGGAGGCCATTTGTTAATATTGCTACGAATGAATAGAATGTACATGCTTTTGTACATGTCCACCCTTTGTCTGTTATAATGAAAAAATGATATTTGTGTTAAATATGTCTCCGAATTATTAGACCATTTCAACTTCACAATCGAAAATTCTAATTATTTTGTCCAATACGTTCTTTCTCCATAGTATCGATATATTTGTTATTTGTATTTAACAAGCCATTGACTGGGTCCAAATCATTGCACAACTAAAAAATGTATACAAAACAAATACGATGACATGTACAAGGTTATGGCGTTTGTCATTGAATGTCTGAGGTAACCTACTTTATAACGTTAAGGGTCGACAGTGGCTGATACAATTAACTTTCTTGTAGCACCGTTTGATTTAAATATCAGGTATAAGTTACAATTTATTAATTGGCAAATCATAAAGTAAACTGCTTCATAAATTGTTCCATCCCTGTAAAACGGCAAGGGGTATGAAGTGATGAAATCTAGCAGGCTAGCATGTACATCAAACTCGACCTAAGCAATTGCAAAACTAAGAGTGAAAGTACATTTATTTCACTAATGTTTTTAGATAAAGATAAATCAACAGAAATCTATGTGAAATGAAGTTATTGCACAAACAGTATTTAATATCTCTAAATCGTGTTATATGTATATATATATTTTTCGAAATGAGAAAGCGACAAATACTGTTGTAGATGACGGTCTTTAAACTTAGTGTTTCCTTCCTGTGTGGTTGATAATGTTTCGTCAGTATTACATTTGCTTTTAACAGGAAACCATAATTTGAGTGGATATACACACAAATAATTATAACATCTGTAACAACGCATTTTAAAGGAGATCTTTCACTGTAATATAACTGTTGAGAAACCCTGACACTACAATTGCTGCCCCTGTACATAGCAGTACACTTGTTACAATTAAGTTGCAGCATCACTGTTTGTCGTTTAGCTGGAAGGATGGTATTGTCGTAGATCGTTGTATTCAGGGTCTGTATATGTTTAATAAATCTGGAGTTTTAAAAGTGAAGTCGACGAATCGTTACGGAATCTTTGTCATAGCAACGGAGCAAAATGTGTTAACTGGACCTTATGAAAACGCTAGAAGAGAAATTGTCTTTAAATTTCAACACTTTTGACGTAATTGTATAAGGTAAAAAGTGTGTAAAAACAGTGATTCTAACACAATGTATTGCTTGACAGAGCTGCTTGGTTTATTCTTGGTACTGCGATATAGTCTTTCCCTACGGTTAGAATGTAATTCTACCCGTGAAGACTTTTGTATGCATAACAAAAACTATTGCCTGAATGCGGGGACCTGTTCATACGACAAGACAATATGCCAGTACCGATGTCTGTGTACCCCATTATTCATAGGCCGAAGGTGTGGACAGACCATCTTCTCACAATCTGCAACCAGAAATATCTCTAAAACACACCAAGGAACATCTACATCCCCAAGAAACATTTTGAAAGCACCAGCAGGAAAAATGAATTCGTCCTCTGATACCTCTAAAAAAGCATTGCTGACCAAAAATGTCTGGAAATCAAGTGGTCCTTCAATCTCAGTGCACGTTTGCTCACCAAAGTACAAGGTGCGACCTTTAAAAGAAAGGCAATGCCTATTTGGATTGAATTGCATATACGGTTATTGCAACATGCAGAACACAGCAGTCAGTTGTACCTGTGACGCGGGTGGAAGAGGGCTGAGATGTGAGAAGAAGTGTTGCCTAAAGTGTTCAGGTCATGGTCGATGTGATAAGTATATCAATGGCACAGAGCGATGTAATTGTGATACCAATTATGATGGAAGATTATGCGAACAAATGATGATCATCTCAACTCCTTTGCCAGGTAAGCGGATATTATGGTCTGTCCGTACGTCTGTGCGTTACTTTACTTTTTCAGCTTTCCCCTTTATCATCTGCACATGTTTACAATAAACATTCTGGCGCATTTGATAAGATAATGTTCTTTGCTTCCGCGTACTCTCTTCAGCTTTGTAATCTTTTTATATCAAACTGAAATTCATTAATCTTTTCACACCTATTCGAAAACTGTTAAATAATCATTGATAGAAATTATGAAGATGTGAAAATTAATCATAAATCATCAGGTGAGTTATCCTTACCTATGGAAATAATTGCTCGTGTTCTATTTGCCAATCTACTGCTTTGTGATTCGTGCCTGCTTTATTATATACACGTTACTATATGATTGTATTTTCTCTTTAACTTCGCCATTTGTTTTATTTTGCACTGCATTGCGTTGTATTGTTTTGTCGCAATTTAGCTATTCAAAGCCAATGTTGTCTATGCTACGTGTATTGTGTTGTAATGTCCTATGTTGTACTGCATTTCCCCTATTTTATTGTAATGTATTGTATTGCATTGTATTATCCTGCATTGTACTATACTCAGAAAAAAAATGAGAGAAATATTATTATGTCCCATGTTCAATATCAGGACGGAAAGTATAAATCCACGTCACAGGATATCTAAAGTTCATCAGAAAGGCTTTGTACTTCTGAAATCATTCCCCAGAGTTGGGGATCTAACCTCCCAAAACGCGAAGATAATGGTTTATCGATATTTACTTACCTATATGTATTTGTTTGTGTTTTTTTTTTTTTTCTTAGATTTACTTTAATTGACCAGTTAAGAGGCTCTTTGTTTCAGATAAAGATATAAGGCCGCTTTGGGTCAGTGTGGTGGTCATTCTCATCTCTCTTGTCATTGGAACAGCTACGATGTTTTACTGTATGTGGCGAAACAGGGTGACCATCATCATGAATATAGTCCATTATTTTCAGGCATACGAGGATGATGGTTAGTATATAATCAATATTAATCAATTAATTATGATGTTAAAGTCATTTTGTGTAACAGTTATATGATAACGAATATTTCGAACAAAATGAGCTAAAATCACAGAGATTCGGTATGTAAAAGCAAGGTGTCTAAGTATCCGAGATATGTTTTGTGTTTAAATATAAACTCATTTTATAACAATAACGAAACAAGTTATCATCTTATATTAATTACTCTTGTTGACCCGGATTGAAGCGCGCGGGGCTCTTATTGTGGAAGGAAACCGGAGTCCCCAGAGAAAACTCCATATCTTTTCACGTCCGTTCAAGGAATTGAACATCGGACGTCTTGGTGAAAGACGAGTGCGTTACCACAGCGCCACTTCACCACTATCTACCTTATGCAATGCGTCTGTCTGTCTTTGTCTGTGCGATGATCAACATATCAGTGAATCTCTCCCTTTGGTTCGTTTAACACTGTTCAAGTTTAAAATATAGTTGTTATCTTATCTCTATAAGGAGAATCAGACCAGGTGTTTCTGAATGGTGTGCTTTTTAGACGACAACGCCATGTGAATCTTGGCCAAGAGACTAATGTTGCGTTCTGAAAACTAGGAATACTATAGCGATCTTTGAACACATTCAAATTCACTTCACACAAGTAAATGGATTTTTTCTTAATGATATCATGGCGACAACAAAGAAACTTCCCTATACCATTCATCAAGTTACACCCTTCGAAAATGTACGCAACAAGCTCGTAACTAAAACATAAAACTTTTTTTTTCTTATAATCAGTAATAACACTATCAAGAAAGGGAAAGTTAACGATAGCAAAAATCGAAATTGTCATTATAACATAATAAACATACATTGCACCAGATAATATATATAGACAAATAGTTATCGATGTTTAAAAGGATGCAATAAATAACATTTTTAAATTTCAGACGAGAAAACGTATGATTCATTCATCTCCTATAAATCTGCGGACGTCGACGAAGACTTTGTTCTCCACGTACTCTTACCTAAATTGGAGGAACTCGGCTTTTCTGTTTGTTTACACTTCCGAGACTTTCTACCGGGAGAACGTGAGTATAGCAATGTTTGGTTATTTATCCTTGTTACTCAATATTCAGAGAAAAGCCCGTATAACACAAATCATATTAAATTTTGTTTAATGGCCATATGTTGTTTGTACCTGCGTGTGTGTGGAACGGAGTTTTTTTCCTGGTGGTGTTAACGAAATGACACGGCGTACATATATTTAAAACGACCTAGCTGTTTATACGAGGTGTGAGAGTATGTTTCCGGGAAATTTGGGATGTGTTAATGTTATCCTTCTACAAAGTGCGAAATTGATACCGAATTCATAGCATTTTAACACTAAACACCTCAAACGCGTCCCGTTCTCTCCGAGTTTAATTGGAATAGAATTTTTAGAAAACGATTTGGATTGAATTGAATACCTTACTGCAATTACAAGCTTTAAGTGCCTGTCTATTGTTGACATTGTGTTCATGTTGTTAACCATTTTACAACTATAAGTGTATCACAAAATAAAGTTATTTATATTTTGGAATCTTCAGCAATTGCCAACAACATCATCAACGCCATTAACAATAGCAGAAGAACCATTCTTATCCTAACACCACGCTACGTAAGTAGCGAGTTCACGAGACTGGAATATCAGGTGGCACAGCATGAGATGTTAAAACGGAAACACAAGATCATTCCTGTGTTGCTTGAGGATATTTCCAAAGAACAGGAAACAATGGACCCAAACTTAAAACAGATCCTTCGGTGTGTCACCTATCTAGAATACCCAGGTGCTGAAAGTGGTGAAAAGAGCAGGAAACGATTTTGGAAGAAACTGTCGTTGGCTATGCCAAAGAAAAAACAAAACGAATTGAAACGGAAACAAGTTGGTGATGGTTTTATTGAACAAAACCTGGAAGCACAGGTGATCGACGCCATTGCTGAAAATGCAGGACCTGAGAAGGTGGAAATGGCGCATATCTAGTTACCCTTTTCTGTGTAGTCCAGTCATGTTTTTATATAGCAGAGACCACAAAAAAATTGCAGTAGAACGGTGTTAATATTTTGTTTCGAGCTACAGTCAGGTTCTTTTTGTAGGAAGGTGTTAATATTCTATTTCGAGCTACAGTCATGTTCTTTTTTTTAGGAAGAAGGTGTTAATATTCTATTTCGAGCTACAGTCATGTTCTTTTTTTTTTTAGGAAGAAGGTGTTAATATTCTATTTCGAGCTACAGTCATGTTCTTTTTTTTTTTTTTAGGAAGAAGGTGTTAATATTCTATTTCGAGCTACAGTCAGGTTCTTTTTGTAGGAAGAAGGTGTTAATATTTTGTTTCGAGCTACAGTCAGGTTCTTTTTATTAGGAAGAAGGTGTTAATATTTTATTTCGAGCTACAGTCAGGTTCTTTTTTTTAGGAAGAAGGTGTTAATATTCTATTTCGAGCTACAGTCATGTTCTTTTTTTTTAGGAAGAAGGTGTTAATATTCTATTTCGAGCTACAGTCATGTTCTTTTTGTAGAAAGAAGGTGTTAATATTCTATTTCGAGCTACAGTCAGGTTCTTTTTTTTTAGGAAGAAGGTGTTAATATTCTATTTCGATATTTCGAGCTACAGTCAGGTTCTTTTTGTAGGAAGAAGGTGTTAATATTCTATTTCGAGCTACAGTCATGTTCTTTTTTTTTAGGAAGAAGGTGTTAATATTCTATTTCGATATTTCGAGCTACAGTCAGGTTCTTTTTGTAGGAAGAAGGTGTTAATATTCTATTTCGAGCTACAGTCATGTTCTTTTTTTTTTAGGAAGAAGGTGTTAATATTCTATTTCGATATTTCGAGCTACAGTCAGGTTCTTTTTGTAGGAAGAAGGTGTTAATATTTTGTTTCGAGCTACAGTCAGGTTCTTTTTGTAGGAAGAAGGTGTTAATATTTTGTTTCGAGCTACAGTCAGGTTCTTTTTTTTTAGGAAGAAGGTGTTAATATTTTGTTTCGAGCTATAGTCAGGTTTTAGTCCTTGTCATATTAGGTAGATTACTGAGGTATGTTTTATCAAGTCTAAGATGACAAGTAATAGATAAATAAATGTGCAGGCAATTATAGATTATTTTAATAAAAGACTAGAATCTGATACCATAAAGCTAAATAATAAATTAAACATATTGGCGTAAAGCTGTTTTGTCCTTCGAAAACTAATCCCTTGATGCTAAGTACCTTAAGATTGAAAACTAACTGACGACTGAGGAAAACATGAATGATCAAAAGAAATGTCAAAATCCAGATAGGAAGGAAAAGAGCCCATTTACTCCAAAACATCATATTTTTCATATATAAGATAGTTTTATAAGGAGTACATGTACATATGCTGAACCTTGTCACTTTCCCCTTGAATTAAAACATGGCGTGGAGGAGCATCTGTAGGTTACGACAATCCACAAAGACTAAGAAACAGTTATCGGTGCACATTCTTTTCTCTTTGGGTCATAGTAAAGGGTCGATCTGAGTCTCATGTTATTACACTCAAATGTCTAATACATTCCTACATTCAAGACAACACGGAAAGAAATTTTCTCTCTCTCAATAATGTGAATTTTTCTTATCAATGTCATACATTTAACATTTTTTTCGACATAAAAAGTGAAAGTACCGGAATCAAGTAGGAAAATAAAATATTATGCATGAACTATATTTCTTTTTATGGCAGTTCTAGGTCATTTATACATCAGATCCTTCCAGCAATGTATGTATGTGTTCGTGCTTTGAACCTCTTGTACAGACTCCTGATTACATTCCACGATAAATATCAGCTCCCATTGTGTTCTTTTTGGATTTCTAATATATATCTTTATATTTAATCTTTTAATACTTATTTAATACTTATATTTAATCATTATATAATTTTATATAATACAAACATTATACTGCTTATTTTTTATATCAAAGGTCAAGATCATTTGAAAGCTTGTAAATAAAGCGTTATCCAATGGCCGTCATTGTTTGGTTATAGATATATTGTAATGGGCGTTACCTGCATGGCCACCATGAAATGGAATTATATTCGAGTCATTTCTAAACGGTTTTGTCACCGATTCCATCCTTAAATGTCTAATTAATTTTCATGTGTACACTTCCGTAATATACTGTATATGGGTAGTTATTAGCCAAGTGTTACAAGCATAAGTCACAGGTTTAAATGGACGAGTATTAAACAACGACAACAGATTCGCTGCACACAATAAATCGAATGAGCACGTGTTCGATATACTGATATGACTTATCCTTGTACACGTGATAAATCATATATGTAGACTTATCAGCAATTCCAGTCAATGATATAAGTAGATTTTGTTCACTTTTTTTCAGATTTCAAAAAATGAAAGATAAAAATGGAATAATTGTTTTCACCTCTTTATAATACGAATATATCTACGTGTGTCTAGATCGAATTAGCGGTATCATTGAATGACTCTGGACTAGATACAAGTTTATCGATCTACACTAGCTGATATTAATTCTACCGGGTCATATTGATAGCAATAATTAACGATATCACAAATTGTCATCAGTTATTCGAATTCGTGGTAGCACTACATCTAATTTATTGATATCGCGTTTTAATATGTAGTAGAAAAGGCGACTCATACATCATGTAGGTCACTAAAAATATCACAGGTTCCGGAGAAGACGTTCTCTGTGTTGATCACTTACGTATTTTTAATGGCAGATGTCACTATTGGTTACTTCACTGAACATCTTACGGGAGGCCCATTGCATATCGATTAGTAATAAGTGTCTTGCCCTATGATACAACAACTTCAGCACAGGCCAATCCTTGTCTCAGTTTCCTGATGAACACATTACGCCAGCGGTCGAACCAGTAACCTCGGGTCTTTTGTAACGTAGGTTAGCGCTCCTACCGACCGAGCTATCACGGCCCGCTTTAACTGTAATAGACTCTTAAATGAATTTGCAATTTAAATACCAATTCCATCATACCATGATTAACAATTAAAAAATGTGTGAAATATAAGTAATACAAAATTGTAAATACAACGGTTTGGTCCATGAATACATATTAATCATCGTATATATATCAATAAACTCCGTGTGTTGAACGTTTGGTATCAACTTGCTTTAATCTTTTATTGTAATGGTTTAACCACGGATTTAGTTTCAATGCATTGAAAACCTATTCAAAATATTTTTCTTTTACAACCAAAGCGACGTCTAGGACGAATGAATTAAATGCGTTTCGGTAAAGTGATTATTTCTATAACACTTAGCTAACGGATACAATCTATGGTATACACAACGTTTGGTGGGCAGTACGTAAACCTATTACTAGACAGCTGAACTTTATATTAAAACCCTGCCGTTTATATGTACATAAGCAGTAGACACTGGACTCAACAGACGATAGACCAATGTATCAATTACCAATGCGGATCAAACGGCAAAATTGTCCTGCTTTATAAGAACCAGGCCTGGTGCATTTTCATCTGGAGAAAGAACTTGTATATGAAGATAGTGATTGATATTGCTATAAAAGATACCACATCTGTTTAAAGCCAACTTGACTGGTGTCTTGTATTCACTCACGGTCGCCAACTTGAAAGGAAGCACACGACAATTGGGATCAGATTCTAGACATCATTATTCAACAAATTTACAGAAATTCAACGAATTTGAATCCATTCCAAAGTTTTGTAAACAGAAAGAAACAGCAAAAGGACTGGAATCGATAATGATACAAACATAACTGGTTTCCCACCTGTATGACGGTAACATAAGTGTACGAAATCAATACCCGACTCCAGTAAGTACCGCTTTTGGAATACTGTCAACTACTTGTACAAAGCGGATTTCGTTATACCATTTGTTTTGCCAAGGTAGAAAAGTTCATCCTATTTAGTTAACGTCTTTGAATCTATATATATTATGTGTGTAGGATAGTGACGTTAAATATCAGAGTTAAAACACTGATGCAGAGGTGCATGACGCATATTTCAAAACGAATATATAATTTAAGCGGATTTATTTCAACTCATGGAGTAGATATACTTCTGGTAGTATTGAGTTATGAGTCTTTTCATGAAACGGGATTACTGCACCACAACACTACGGATATAAAACTCGGAAAAACAATAACAATTTGTGGTTAGTTTTAAGCTACCTCATTACGGGAATTTTACACCTGCTCAATCTTCAGAAAGTAATGTGTTTTCTGACCTTGCCCTTCAGATGTTATTTGTGACTAACCTGTGAGCATTTTACAAGTCAGCTTGACCAATTGATCAATTATTTGTAAAAGGTTGGCAACAGGTATATCTACGGAAGTCCTTGTCAAAATGTCTACAGTACAGCCAATCGGATGGTCCACCTCACGAATGAATATGCACTTCCGGTCCGTTTTTCCGGACAGATTGGATACTGGGATGCAAATGACATTACACAGAAATGTGACAAAGAGATTACTGCCTAGAGAGTTGAATTTAGATGAAAATATGAGAAATGTCGAAATGGCAAGGAGAATTCTCCACAGACAGAGACTAGGTACCAACATCTTTGTCGGCGGAAGAGCCGCACCCCGTCAAAGTTTGAAAGATTGGAAATCGCAAACACGAAAACGACCTGAAACATCGCCAGAAATGGGTGAAAAGCAGAGCTCTTTTCTTCCACAGGTTTTGAATTATCCTTCAACGCCGAACACTCGCTACACAGCCGATGATGTTTCCAAGTTAGTGGAGAGATTGTCTAGTTTTCCGCCGGAAAAAGTACCGGAATCGAAAGGGTATCCTATGAAATTACCAAAGACTATAGTGTATAAAAAGAAATATTCCGATGACGAAATCCAGAGAATAGTGCGTCGTCTCACCGTTGACGATATAACACGTCACAGACCGGAAACGCGAGGAACAATTCCGATGGTGGTCAGTGTCAAACCGCGGCAGACAATGTCCCGAATCAAGAAGTGTTCTGCAGAAGAAGTACAAGACATCGTAGAACGCCTGTATAAATTTGACAATTCAAGACATCCACCGGAATCACGTGGTAGTGTTGGACAATGGGATCAGAGAATGGTAGAGGAAGAAGAGGAATAGAATGATAAACTAGCATTCATACACGATTGTGACCTGGTGCCACCTCATATGACACAGAGACCGTTATGTAAACGAAGGAGAATTTTATAGTTATTAATTGTGGAAAAGACTATTATCACCCAGTTTACAAGAAACTTGCACATTCCAGGAAACCGCAGTGCTTTTCTGGAAGTTCTTGCTGTGGCGTGTAATACCAGTAATATATGGTGATACCAGCGCATTGTTGTTTGATCATAAATCGCAGTAAAACAATATTCGCATATTTGCATTTCGCTAAAACACATTATTTCTACGAAAACACTTTTTATGTTAAATTTCCAGTTCCGTTCAACGCTACAGATTAAATCTATAAATGAACAGGACAGTCGGACATTCCCGTTTTAAAAGTGACGTTTCCAGAGATATTTTGGTGTTCTTCAGGTGTAGTTTTAATGGATATTTGTCGACGACATTTATGTAAAGTTTGAATTAAAATCTTGTGTTTTTGTGTTGTCACCGGCTCTATTAAGCAGGTTGGTGTTTTTTACTGGTATGGACAAAGGAACATTACATAAAAAATATTGCAATTAGAATCATTTTAATTAACTAAAGTAGACAACTAATCAGAAGTAGAGAATACAAAAACTAATTTTAATATTATTTTCTATCTCTCACACTCATACTTGTAACACTATTATTCACGTCCATCAATGTTTTAAGCGCTAAAATTGGAAGAATGCGGATTCCCCTCGATCAGATCTTGTAACGTATTTATAAACCTTCTGTTTCCCGATATAGGAGTCGGCTATTTGTTCACGTTTTCTTGACAAAAGGGTTCATTTTAGCTGTTTGAGCTCAACAGTGCTGTCTACTAACCGCTGGGAACAAAAATAGAAAAAATGTCTTTAATATGTGGTCAAATACGAACATATATTTGTCCTGTCCGATCTTATGAACAGATACCGATTGTTACTTCAATCCTGGAAACCTGTCAAATGTCAACGTTGACATTTTCATTGTCTGTAGTATGAATCTTCGGAAATCCAACCTTGCGAAAAAGGCCTAGTATTCGTGCTCAGGCACACTTTGCGTTCAGACTGAAATACTTTATGTGATATATCTTTTTTTTTCTCTCTGTGATTTGAAGGAATTTCGGAAAGACGTATACATGTTTTTCTTAACTGTTATTTCATTATTTAAGTTTCAAGAATGTTGGGTTGAGCAGATTTCATGTCTGAGAATGAGAATGATTTCATGACTGCATGAAGTGGATATCGCAATGTGGAGAGATTTAAAAAAAAAACCTTGAATATGACGTCACAGTGCATCACACACGACGGAACATTCGTTATTTGATTTTTATGATAAAATGATGTCATACATATGTACTGTATATATATTTCACATTGTGTGTATATAACTTTGTATTTTCTGGCTAGCTACAATGGATCGGGATAAGAATTAATGGTTATCAGTGAAAGTGTATAAACAATTCGAGAAAACGTCAAATATAGTGAATGTAGAGAATCTGAGTTATAGGAAACTTATATAAGTTTGTGCCTTGCGAATTCATGGAAATAATTTTACCTGATTTAATGTAAGGCTCTTTCCGTCCTCTCTCCAATCAATATTGGCTATGTTAAACATAGATCTCATTCCATACAGGCTGAAATACATGTGAGTGAAATCACAAATTTGCCTCAATTTATCATCTTGTTGATAAACAAAGCAGTATTTCTGAATGCAAATTTAGATCGAAATTTTACTGATATTCTCTCACTACCACGTTATTAGTGTTTGTTTAACAACCCCTAAAACACGATGAAAAAACATCCAAATCTGGAATCAAATTCCTTTCCGGGATACAAACGCACTTTATAAGAAATAGCGAGAACAAACTTGAACTGTCAAAATCCAAGATGTGTTAACAATTTTTCCATTAAGTATCTAAATTGTAAAAGCAACACCAAGGCCTACAGCAAAGAATATTTCATAAGGACAACTAAATTCATTTCTAATGCAAAACTTTCCCTTTGCCTTCGAAACAGACCATGACCTTTAATCAAGATACTCGACCTGGTGACCTTGACATTTGATTATTCAATTTCTTCCTTGAAAAACTTACCACATCAAAATACCAGTATAATGATCTACACTATGACTATGTGACCTTGAACTGAAGTCACATGACTTCTCCATTAATATTCTTTACAAGTAATATGCCGTTTTATATTTCAGCAAATGATCGTCATATGAAGGTTGAATTGACCTATTTATAGTGAACTGAACACAAACCTTTGTCCATTTCTTACATTAGATGATTTGACAAGATATAGTTGATGGTTCAAAACTTATTAGTGATAAAATATTAAATGAAAGTTTTGCTCTAAGCTGAAATTCTTCCTTCAGCTGAAGTTCAGAACTACATTGTATCATTTCAATGCACACCGCCTGTGCAGTGATGTAGATATAATCTAGCAGTCACTTCATGTCTGTAGTTCTGAGTATTACAGAGATATTTCTATTCATTCTATCCAGATCAAACAAAATATTTCCTCCTCAATTTGAACACAGAAAAAACAAACAATACTTTGTAAAATAGAATTTCTAGGATTGTAAGGTCAGAAATTTTTATTAGACAATTCAATATCAATGCTGAAACATTTTGTTAAATGTTTCATTTTTGGGAAATAAACATAATTCGCAATCACTTTTCAACCAGTCTATAAGCTTTAAGCTTGCTTTCCCGTCTCCAATTTACAACCTAAATTGAACAAATGAAAAAAATGGAAATATAATTCTGTTCAAAGTGTTGATTGATATGAAGGTATTGAAACAGAGTTAATACCATTCAACCTAGGCCTACAATAAACAATATTTGGATTTTAAGACGCGAGTCATCTTACAGGAAACATTGAAGACTACCTCTGATTTCATAAATAATCAAAAATGCATTTTCAAGATTGGAAACTGAAAGATAATTTCTAACTTTAAATTTTTATTTAGATTATTTTCATAAAGGTTCCATTTAAATTGTTGAGCTTCTCTGAAAAATCTTGGGATTCAAAATTCAGCTTGTTGTATAGAATAAAATCTTGCTAATTCATGGAGTCAGATCAGTTATAAAAGATTAAAATTCCTACACATACTGATCCAACAAAAACCACAAGGGGCCTACACATTACCTCCAAACATAATCTTAAGGATTTTTTTTATTTTTTAATTTGTTACAAGATTAATTGGTGGGAGACATATTAACACAACAAATATTAAGAACAATCTATTTTTTCTCATAAAAAAGATATGACGATTCATTGAACAATACTGAGTTGCCGGAATACAATTGAATATGTATATGAAGACAAACCAAAACATTTGACTTATTTCCTTTCCAAGAATCTGTTAAATGATTACAACCATTTAACTACAATAATGTTCTCCCTTCACCACTTTAATGAAATCAAATTATACAGCAAATCTATTCATTTCTTCACTTTCTCTGATATCTGATAACCAAACATTAAAAAGGAAAAAAATAAGATAAAAATCATGTACATGTGTATCCAGATCTGGCTGGTTTACTAACAAATTAAGCAAGGAAAAAATAGTAAAACAAAAACACAGGATGATTTCACATCATTTAATGTGAAAAAATGTTATTGTTTCGACTTAAACTTCTGACTAGAAAAGCAGGTCTGTTCAGCTTCACCAACCATAATACAACTTCATACATATTGTATATAATTTCAAGGAACATAATTGTCTTTTTTCACACAAGGCCTTGGAAACAACAATTTTCATTCTATTGAGCTAGATATTTAAAACTGAAAAATGTCTCTGAACAGTTTTCATAAATAACATATGAAATGTATGCACAATTCTATCAATATTACGTAACCAAGAATTATAAAAAGAAAAAAAAAAAATGCGATTTATCATGACATATATATCACAATTATCATGTCACTAAATGCATGTAGATTTTCTCAAGAAAGAGGCAAGATGCCTGCAATATATCTGAAATCACATACATTTCAACAATTCCTGACTTAGACACAAGAGGCATGCATATTCCAAAGGATTTAATGTTACCGATCAAGTTTGCAAGCTGCAAACAACTACTGTAAACATGCAAATTTCAGCAATAATCTTATATTAGTGCCTTTGTTGATCTTTTTTTGCGATAAAATATGATTGCCCTTATTGTATTTCGTGTAAGTTGTTGATATTTGTTATATCACTTATTATTATAATATTTATTAAAAAAATTAATTATTGTGGACATACAAATTCAACATTGTGTAAAATTGCATATAAGGATAAAATGCTTAAAATTTTGATTGTGAGAAATTAAGAATAGTACCAACAAGTAATGTCTACAGATGCGAGTTAAAACTTCAATGGCCTGTCATTGACAAGTTTGCCATGCATCTTCTGTGGACACATTTTAATTCATAAAGTTATTTTGTTTTCCAGCTGGAAATGTTTTCTTTCTGATAAACTGACTACTGCTATTAATCTTATAAATACATGGCTCTAGTGTTTGTATGGGAACCATTTTCAGAGACAAAGTCATCTTAATTATCAAAGTTCATACTATAATGAATATCAACTTTGTGACAAACCAAACTACAATGTCTTAACACTGATTTTGAAATTTATTGTTTTTGTCGTTACATTTACGATAAACAACTTTGTGCATGAAATTATTTTCACATTTTGCTTTAATTAATCTTAGCTACAGTTCATAAATTGGTACAACTTTTTAATATAAACAACTTTGTGCATGAAACTATTTCAAATCAAACACCAGTTCCAATGTTTGTGTACACCTGGCCATATTTACAAAGCTATTTACCAGCTGATAGTATCAATATTTAATACAATAAGAATGCAAACCTTACCAAATTTATTCGAACATGATTTGTTTGCAATATTGTCAAATTCTGTTTGTTGGCAAATATGTGGAAATCTTTTTTCATTTCATGTTTTTTGGGGGGTTTTTTGTAACTAAAACTAAAAATATTTATACAAATAAAAGGTCATACAACATCAAAACAATAACATTTTATTTATTAACATAAAAACACTACATGTACAATATTTTTTATATTCTATCTGTTCTACATAGACTACAATGCCAGCATTATGACAGACTCACATTAAATGTAAGACTGTGTTATATTCTATATTTTCTGAATTTTATCACGTCAGTTGAGAGTAAAAATGATATTTATACACAGAACAGCTAAAGATCTTTCCCACAGAGAAACAATGTTTTACAATGTGAAATCTTATCCTGAGTTTACCATGACAGAGTATAGCACTTGGTACAAGGTTATCAAATCTATGCCATTATATAGTATATTCCTAACTTTGAGAGTGTATTTTTATTTTTATAAATCCATGATTTTCTTGCAGAATTATGAGGGGTAAGCTGTATCAGATTATTTACCTGAATAAATTTCCTTGTGAAATCTTTTGTAACAAGAAATGAAATGAAGCTGAAACAAAATGGATAAACTTCACCCATGATACATTGAGAGGGAAATCTAATATTGCAATGTCACAGCAATAATGTCTTGAAGCATTGATTCAGCAAATTCATTCTCCATCCTCAAAGAAAAAAAAATTAGAGGAAGGCAAACTTATTAACATGAATAAAGTATTGATAATGAAAAAGTGCCCTACCTCTGTAAAAGGAGTCAAGTTGACAAAGAACCAGAAATACACAGAACAAAGAGGTACATACTTATTTTTGGTGTAGAATACCCAATTTGACATGTTAGATTTTACACATGCAAAATTCTAACCTGTAAAGTGCAAGTATTAAACTGATATATCCCCAGTAAAGGGTCGCATGGATTGCCACAAGGCCTACAATACAAACCTACAGACTTCTACAAATTAAGCCAAGGGTGTTTTAATTATACAAGTATGGCAAGGAACAGATGAAAGAAAAGAGAATCAAAAAGATTGACATGTAAGATGTCATATTTACAGCGTTAAAACCATTTCTATTTAAAATTTGAGAATTTGTATGTGATGCAAAATAAAGAATTAACAATCGAAGCAGTCTGGTGAGTGTATCCAGATTCCAAGTATATACAACATTAAAGCTTTCCTTACATGCCTGTTGATTATGCATACAATGAGGAAATTCATGATGATTACTTGAAAAATACTGAAAAAGAATATTTTCTTCATAATTCTGTTTTGACATTAAAGAAATTCAACACAACTAAGTGTATATTGTATTAGTCTTTTTTTCATTTTTTCTTATCAACTTTGCAGCTAAATCGATGAACTAATGTTCATGAGAGGACATATGTACCAGGAAAGCACCAACAACAAAATTGACAGAAACATTTTCTACAGTCACCTATAATGACATATCATAGTTCCTTCTTACTGATACAGTAAAATTTTTGGTTTTAACAACAAACCATACTCATCCCAAATCAGGGGTGTAATCAACAAACCAGCCAGACTGCTCAGGAATCTTAACCATGATATTGTGATGCATGTTAATCAAAATGATAATTTCCAAAAATAATTCTTGGAATTTTTTTTTTTTTTTTTTTGGACTTAAGTTTGATATATGTTGAAATTTCATCCAGTAATTTTGTTCTGGGTTACACTTTGAAATTGGTTCCGATTTTACAAGGAAGAAATTAGCTTAATTTTCATTTATCTCCTCTTAAGTTGGAAAAAAAGGAAATCAAATCAAAATTTCAATCCTCAGACAATTGAATTTCAATTAATTAAAGAGAAAATTCTAGGTTTCTTAGCAGAACACACAGACTGAACTTAATTTAGAGGTCAAAATCTATCAGTTATCTCTTTATGCTTAAATATGGCATGGATTGGCTGGTTTGTGTGTAGACATGTAGGCGTCATGACAAGGTCAAGTTTGCATTATATGAAAATCATAATGAATGCAGCACTAGATTTTGGTCCCGACTTTCAACATTCAACAACAAATGAATTACAAATTTTGGCCAAAATACATTCAAGTTTTGAATATGTCTCAAGCAAGATAGCTTTTTGAAGCATATTTTTGTAAAATACATTCCAATTATACAACTAAAGCGTAAAAAGTGAAGAACAACAGCCTACAAGTATTCACTCCAAAATTCATTGACCCGATTACTGTATACAGTAAGTTTCATTTTCTAATGGGTTCTTGTATCTATGGATCATATCAATGAATGCTGTATGACATTTTAATCACATTTTGCTGCCAAATATAATGAATACCTTTTAAGATTAATTCTATTTAACATTGAGATTAGGGCATTTCCAGTAAAACAACTACCTGTCCCTTAGACTTCTTGGATGTTCGGTTTCCTGTCTATTATTTCCAACTGACTTCTTGGTTGGTACATGAAGCCTGATGTGCTTTGGGTGAACAGGTGTTATACTTGAAATGTCTTTTAGTAATTATGCTTCAGTTATTTACAGTTTGTTTCTCAATCAATCTCTGTGTCTAATGACATTAAAAAAATCTTCTAGTTAAATACCAGTATATTTGTGTATTTTATAAACCATCATAAAATCTTATGAGTCTTTCCTGTGAGTCATTAACTGAGGTTTTATTTACTAATCAAATACAAATACTTCCCCAGGTTTTTTTGTTGAAATCTTCTGATTTTTGGGAGGAAATTTTGAAATTTCGTATGAACACAAAATCCATCTGTGTAATTCTTGCTCTAATCATCAATTTATAGCTTTGAAAAACATGATATATAGAGATTTCTTTATGTAATTGCAGAGATTACAAAACATGTAAAATGACTATCCACCCATGAAGAAAGAAAATGATGAAACATCAACTTTTAGTAATTCTTAAGAATGGAATATAAAGTATTTTTGAAAATTCGAAGAAATATTTTGTCCCAAAAAAGAATCTGTGGAAACATTTTTTTCTTAAATTATTAGAACTAGTTATGTTTCAGATTTCAAAGCAGATAAAATCCAAACACGAGGACTTTTTTAAAAATTAGATAAAAATATTTTACGGGGGGGGGAATAAAAAGAAAACAATATTTGAAATATTTTCATATAATTTCGTCCTAATCTTCCAAGCTCAAAGCAGATAATTCCAAACACAAGTACTTCTTTTATATGGCAAGAATAAAAATTTCACTTGATCAACCAACCATGCATTATAACTAAAAAATAAAAAATGAGACATGGTCAACAACAGACACCAGAATCACACATATTAACAGTGTTAAATATTTTCATGATTGTAATTAAATGCTGATCATTTTCCATCAAATGTTGGTTGTTTGTTTTCCAGCTGTTAATGCCCAACCAATCACTAGTCAGGTTGCTGTTTTGAATGAAACAGTTAAGACATGATATTAGATCATTTTTGCTTCCAGAATTGAGGAGTTCACATCAAAAAGGTTTTATCAATCCTGTTTGGATTTTTCCCCACTGAACATTGTTTCAGGTTGTTATTTTCAGTATTTCTGTTTCTTTGTTTCAGCCGTTGTTACTATAACTATATCTTTACATCTTTTTGCCCTTTCGTGCCCTCACATTTCCATTCTCTGTGGCTGTGTTCTGGTCCACTTCAGGCAATGAGTTGATGTCCTCTTCAACAACTGCAGAAAAAATTGTCAACAATTATTTAAGAATAATTCACTGTGGAAGACATAGCACCTTTTAATACAAATTTAGAGTTAGATACAGTACAACAAAACCAGGAAGTAAACTGCATCATACAGCTGTTTTATCCTTTTAGGAATTATCAGTGATTCTAAGGGTCTAAATTTTCATACCTAGACGGCGCCTGAGGAAAATCTGAAGTGAACGAAGGAAAAGTGAAAACCTACATTGGGAGATGCACCAGCCCCATGGTTAAATAAATTGTGTAACAACTTCAAGTACAAGTGTGTATTCTGAACCGTGCTAATAAAACTTTGCTGCCATATCATTATAAAACTACAAACTATAGTTCTATATATTTATCCATTAAAGAATAAATGATTAACAAAAAAACTAGAAAATGTCTGTAAGACATGAATGCCCCCGCACCCCCATGTGAAATAATAGTGAAAGGTCCGAAAGAGATGATTTTGTTAATTTGTATGCAACTATGTACAACTTAAGTTTCATACTTAAATTGACAAGTTGATTTAACGTACATGAATTTGGAATTTTGTTCTCTGGAAAAAATGAGGGAGTATATTAGTTCCTTATGCCTTAAAACCCACAAGTACCAAATTATGTAGAAATAAGATGATGTTCCTCTGTTTTGAGTTATCTCCCCCTGGTGGCCATCTTTTTTTAGAATGCCAAGAAATTCAACACTGCATGAGGTCTTTTCATACTTGATATTTGTATGAAGTTTCATGAAAATTGCCTTCCGAATTAAGTTGTTAGCTGGTATATACTGATTTGGGACGCGACGCGATGGGACAGGACGGGACGGGACGGACGGACATGGGCAACGCCATATGCCCCCGGCCATAAATGGCGGGGGCATAAATATGAAGGAATGACAGATTGACGTACAAGGGTTATAATATATGCCAGAACCATGAAATGTGTGTGTGTGTGTGGGGGGGGGGGGGGGGGGGGAGCCTAGGGTATAAAAATGATAAAGCAAAAGTACATAGAGATGTAACATTGGTTCCTGATCAATATTGGTCCATCTGCTGCTCTCAGTGGAAAAAAAGAGCAAATTTAATAGGAAATAGGGAGTTACATCTTGATTGTTTCTTTCAATTGTGTTTTACACAGTAGAACAATTCATTTGGTACCAGATATTAAGCTATAGATTCCCGCTGTCAATACTGATACTCTGATAACAGACCACCAAAATCAGCAAGCTGACTTACCCTTGTTCTTTTTCTTGTTTGGTGACTTAAGCCTACGAGAGGCAGCACTTTTCTCCCTTCTCCTCCTCAGATGGAAGTTAATAAAGTTCCACATCATCCACGCCTGAAGAAGACATACCGCAGCTAGGCAATTGATTCTGAAAAACAGAAAATCATTTTACAGGACAAACATCAACATGCTGATTTTACAAATGCAGATTTGCCAGAATTACATGACTGATTTTAGAACAATTGTTAATATGAATGTTTTCACTTGTACACAAGAATTTCTATGTAAAAGGGCAACAGAAAATAAGAAGATCTTGTCTCTTAAGGGGACTAATCATACAAAAAAGGGACCCTATTTTTGGTAAATAAATTTGAAACATCAAACTACATTTATTTGTTATCTTATTATGTCATCAAGAGTGGCTTACAATTATTGATTCTCCATAAGGTTAATATCTTTCAATAGGAGAGCAGTTCCATTAGGTTAACTCTATAAGACTCTTTTATATACCAGAGAGTAGCAGTGGGGATATTCCACCTGCAAGGTCACAAAATGTCATAACCCAGATACTTTTACCACATTTGGTGACTTTCAGGTTTACATCTTTTACCCCAATCTATGAAAGAGTATTTTCTCTCTCATTTCTCATTCTAAAATATTGGGGGAAAACAGCTTCTGATGTTGACAATGTTCTACCCAGGACACCATATTACATAAAAATCATAAAAAATGCAATTCATTGACAAATTGACGCAGAAAAAGAATTTTCCATACCTAGATTTGATAAATAAAGTTTTCACTAGAAAATTAAAACAAAAAATAAGTAGTCACTGTAAATAAGTATTTGTACACATGTATGTGTGTATACATTGTATGATACAATGATATCAAATGGAAAGGGACATGTTGTCACATTTCTACATGCTTGTATTGCATGGTTTGGTGTGTAAAACAAGAACACAAAAACTTGGGTGCACTTCCCTGGAAAAACCAGTATTACACCAGTAGAAATGAGAGAAAAGGATTTAATCACCTGAGAGAAGTGATATTCAACTAGCCTGCAGAGTGCAGGATGCCACTACTTCCAGAGTTGTCATAGCACGGTAGCAAAACTTTCACAAGTACTTCTTAGCCAATCAGAGAAGTGTAAAACAATCAGTCCAATAACAAAAAATTGAAATCCAGAATAAACCTACCTGATCCACTGAGCATTAAAGTTTCCTGCAGCAAAGTCCACAGAAGCTTGGCTGCTCTGGTCAAGGCCATACCTGGAAAGATCAAAGACACATTAAAATATGAGCTGTTTCATGTCATTTTTCTTGCAAACACAAATATATCCTTTTTTAGGCCCCATCAATACAAAAAACATGGTTCAGCATATTTATACAATTCATATCAATGCTTTAACAATTTAATTACCAACTGCTCATTGACATTAGTGATCTAGTACTACATTTTTTTTTAACATTTTCAGGACTGTCGAAGTCAGGCTGATTACATTACCCAAGTTTCTGATTTTTAACTCATCTTCTACTGATGTCATACTACATGCATTGTGCTAAGGTTGCCATAGTGGATATTATGGTAATCACTGAATCATATACCAAACTTATTTAATTGTAAACAACAATTCCCTTTTAAGAGGTTTCAGTACATGTAACAAGATCTCAAGATGATTATCATTATGAGCTTCTTATATAAGCCATGACTCTGAAGTACAATTTAGATGATCTACCGAACATATGCAACTAATTAGGAGATTCCAGTCTCTTCTGACAAGCTATTACACAACCAGTTCTACGGTCATCAGGAGTGTGGCACAAGTCAAAGTTTTATACACAAATGAATTAACGAAGTACAGTCCTAATGCAACATTTTCGGAGAGAAGCAGCATTATAATTTTGAAGGTTGCTGCCACCGTAGATACACATAAATCACAATGGTCCAAATTTCATTTAAGTATCTAGACAAAGAGTCAAGAATCTGGACCAAACTGTTTACTCTAAGATCAGTCTCTGTATCAATACGATCACGACTTCATTTCTTATATAAAATGCTGAAAATTATTGATAACATGAAGAGTGAGGAACAATTTTTCGGACTGTAAAATATTTCAATCTAATAATGAGCATTCTACCAAGAAAATCATTAAAAACACTAACCAGAAAGTGAGAACAGCCAAGATGATTGTCCCAAGTCTGACCAGGACAAACAGCCCATTAAAAACCATGAATCTGTAAAATAAATGTTAAATCAAAATTAATGATTCAGTATGCATGCAGTAAGATGGATTATTTTCATCCCTATTCTGTTTTTCACATTATTTCATACATAACACGTGCTTGCTAATTCATTTAAACCATACACGTGTTGTGTTTGCTAATCCAATATTTTCATACTATAGGTTTCCTCAAATATATTTTTTAAATATATTTCTTGTGTTTGCTAATTCAATATTTTCATACTTTAGGTTTCCTCAATTATATTTTTTAAATATATTTATTGTGTTTGCTAATTCAATATTTTCATACTATAGGTTTCCTCAAATATATTTTTTTAATATATATATTGTGTTTGCTAATTCAATATTTACATACAGTGTTTTCTCATTCAGTAATTACTATACAAATATTTTGTTTGTTCATTAAATATTTTTCAAATATATATATATATATATATATTGTGTTCGTTAATTCAATATCTACATTTAATAATATGCTTTTACTATATATAAATCTTTGTTAATTCAAAATTTTTAAAACTGTATATGGTGTATTTGGTATTTCAGTATTTTCATACCCTGTGTTTGCTAATTCACTCTTCTCAGCAAAATAAAGGAGTCTTGCTAAATGGAAGACAAACTCCACCAAATAATGCAGAACCATCATGCTTAAGGCAACACGATTAAAACTGTGAAGAAAAAGAGATCATCATTATAAACACATGTAGGACATCGTACGACCAACAAAGAAAACAAAAATAATGATGATGCCACAGATAAAATGTCAAATATTAATAATACCCAACTTTTATGATTAAATCATATCACATCATCATAAAATCACATTTTTTTCTTTTAAGTTATTTACTAGAAATAAGACATTTAAAACATTCAACATTTTTGTAAATAAATCCTAACAACAGATTGAAAACATTCCACATTTTGGAAATAAGTGGTACAATAATATAATTTGTTCATGAAGAATGGTAATGTATGAAGAAATGTTAATACTGAGCGAGTAAAAGTTTCTGTAAGGTTTAGGACTATTCCATTAAAACATCTAACTGTCCCTAGAACTCCAAAATAAAATACTTCTATCCATGGTTCTGTTTCCTGTCTATCGCTTCTAAGTTAATTTTCAATAAAATTCTATGGATGGTACCACTTACAAGAGGCCCACTGGTCTCAACAGTTATCAGACTACAAAAGCTTTCAGCAGGGAGAAGGGTAATTTTTTCTACTTTGAATGAAATCACTATGAAGCTGTTTTCCATGATGCAGATGGTAGTTTTGGTGAGGAGTAGGTAACTGTAACAAGTGTAACCTATTTTTTGACAGTTAAGTTGGAGTTCATTCCCACTGGTGAAACTTGAGAAGAAGTTTGAAAAAGGTGTTGCACAGGAAACCCATGATTGTGCCATCCTGTTACAAAATGGCCTCCTTGGCTGCCGTATCAAAGTTTGTTGACTACTTTTCTTTAACCTTCCCACCAAGTTTTAGCTCAATGGCACCAGTGGAACTAGAAGTTTAAAATGTTTTTCAAGATGGCGGCCATGGAAGCCATCTTGGATTTCAGATATACCAGGAAAATAACAACACTTTGGTCAGACACATCTCAGGATCATTTCATGCAAGTTTGAGCTCAATCCCACTGGTGGAACTTGAGAAGAATATTAAAATGTGAAAAGTTTACGCACTGCCGGCGACACTGGAGGACAACAGGCGAGGCAAAAAGCTATAGGTCACCATGACCCTTCCTGTCAGATGACCTAAAAAAACCTGGAATCCTAGGGTTGAATTTTTTTTTACTGAAATAACTCCTTCACAAATTTTGAGAAAAAAAACCCTTTTTTATCAATGTTTAATGTTTGTAAAACTATCAGAACTGAAATACAATATCTTTTTTTAACATTCCTTGACGATTTTAATATCTTAAATTGCTAACTCCAAACAGCTCTATGGCTACTTACTTGAGTACATAGGCTCCAACAATGAAGACAAGGTAGAGAGTAGCATATTGTATACGAGACGACATCTCCTCCTGTAACAGAATAACACTACAATGAATCATTGCAACCCAAAATAAGACTCATTAAACATAGTTCACAGGGTTTAATGGCCCATGAACTGTCTCCTTGAGCTAGAGGCTACTTCTTTAGGCAACACATTGGAGGCCTATTGCATATCATCCAGAGCAATCAATGTAAAATGTCTTGTCAAAGGACACAACCATGGCAGCCCAGACTGGCCTGCTTCTTAGTTTCCTATGAAACACAAACTACCACAAGTAGAAAGTATTGAACCATTGGATCTTCACCAGAGGTTTGTAGGTAAATGTTCTAACTGAATTACAGCTTCATTCCACGTAATAAAGACAACTTATACACACAAAACCTCTATAATGTTTGACATTGAAGCATGTGTATTTTGGATCAGAATCCAGAACGAAATCTGAATTTGTAAAAAATGCATAGAAATCCAAAGGCATATAAATAAAATCTAATGTAGAAATTTTTGGATCTCAATCAAGAGTCATAACTCAATTTTACGCCAGACTAATACTGATACATGTATTTATTTGATACTTTGTTAGTTAAAAATTAGAAACTTCACGTAACAAAACATTAAGAAATGAAATGGACAAAGCCATGAACATTACACAAAATATGATAAAAGAAAACAGTGAGGCAGGAGATTTATAACATAACTTTTCAAACACATTTCAAATTGTAGTACAAGTGAGAACATTCCATATACCAAGCAATATGACACTGTGACAGCAGTAATGACAATTGACAATCCCTACTGTGTACTAGTATCTATAAATGTTTAAAGTATTTTGATCTTGAAGCAATTTTTTGCAAGATTCAAATCCCTTCAGATTCCAAAGATATTAATTTCATCGACAATAATAAAACTTCGTCAGTAGTAATTCTCTAGGACATGCCATAGAAAATCATAAAATCATTTTATTTTACTTACCTTTTTGATTTTTTGGAAATATAGTTCTGGAAAGCAGTGGATCCAGTAGGCGATTTGTAAGATGAAGAAAAATTTCACGACAAACCTGTATCAAGGAAAACAAACCCTTATCATTGTAATACAAGAAAGACAACTCTTCACATTCAATTCCCATAAATGATTTAGTCAATCAGTTTCTTTCTTAGCACATGTATGGATCATAGACTGGCATGAAAAGCTTAGTTTAAACAGAAAGATCAACAGACTTACAATCTTTCTTAAAGTATGTAATACAGCTTAAATTTGGATCTAGATTATTTCTTTAATTGCTGCTTCAAACACAGTCAATCAACTCATAAACATCGCTTCCTTGGCTTTGTCCTAAAAGCATAATAACATACAGGGCTCTCACACCCCATTTTGGACTGGGGCTCAGGGCCCTTAGAATTGGGAAAAATAGTGGCATTTTCCTTAGAATTGGGAAAACTTGAGGTCTAAGTTGGGGAAAAAATATACTTTTTAGCATTGGGAATATCAGCCCCAAATCTGGCAGATTGTGAGCCCTGACATACATATAAAATTTCACTTAAAACTTTATCTGCCATTTCATTTTCACCTTACTAATGAAAGGACTATATGGACCTAAGTTAAATTAAAGCTTGTATTCAGTACTTCAAATTAAAAGTTGACTTACGTTAATTCTGCGTGAGGATATCCCTCCCATAACTGGTTGATGTTGATGTAGCTTTCCTGAAAGTGCAAGAAGTTAAAGGTAATGAACCATGGTTGTTATAGGGATATATTACTAATAGATAATGTTGGGAAACTCTTTATCACAATTTGTCAAACAATTATATCTGTTAAACCTAATGGATATTTCTGTATATCTAGCTAATCCAAACCAAATAATGCTCAAATTCATGAACAAAATTGTTTCCCCAATGTTGACAGTTTTTTATGCGGAAAAATGATCAATCAATTGATTGATTGTTGATAATCAATCAGAAAACTGTGTCATGTTAATATATAGTTAGTACAATAATGCAAACCAAGCAATTGTTCTATCCACAACAGTTTTGTTGAATTGCTTGCCAATATCAGATAGCTATTTAACCATATGATTCAAGCATCTTTGTGACCGAGTAATGATAAAACGAGTATAGAAGGCTTATTTCAAGAAAACTGACAAGCAAAAAGTATTTGCATCATGATTATGAGTTTTCAGAAAAGACTGTTGCCAGATTCTTTCCAACTGATCAATTTTGAGGTTATGATCAATCCTCAGCCCCATCCTACAGTTTATTTCAATTTATTTAAATGTTTTGGTACTGAATTTTACAGATTACCAGCCAACACTTTTTTCACCGTGAGGTGGGTGTGCTGCCCATATACTGGTGCAGCTTGTAGACAAGGTAGACAAAAGAAAAAAAATCTGTCGACTACAAAATGTTTTTTTAAATGAAGCAAACTAGTAAGTGAGGGCTTAGCAATTTGTGGGAGTACCTGCCCACCATGTGTTTGTAAATGAGATGTGTAGAAAGAACTGTCACTTGTAATTGTTTACGCGCAAATTTGAAGATTGCAACTAATATAACATTCCTGTGGTTTTAATTAGTTATACCTTTAATATAAATCTCAATAAAATCTTCTGGACTTTCGCAGTTACTTTCTATTGCACCCTGGGATTGATAAATCATAAAGATTGTAACATAAGCTGTATGTTATGTCGGGCCCTATATCTGTGCATAGAAAATCTTTGAAGGCCCCTAGCCAAACGAGTTCAATATTTGCTATTTTATGTATTAAGAATGATCAGAACCATTTTTAAAATACATCAATAAAGGATTATTTGTGCATAATTCATTTGCAAACTTAATCAAGTATTTGGCTGATGATCTTGATAAACTGCCACCCATTGTCTGTTATAACATATTGGTTGCCACATCGTAAGAAAGTGTGATGCTTATAATCTGGTTCCAATGATATGTGGATCAAATCAAAAAAACAAATAAAAATTGGATCTGTGGCCTATATATCAGTGTGACTTATCACCCTGAAAATGTGGTAATTACTTTAAAAGGTTTTTTATAGAAGAATTGCAACAACAAACACTGAGAAGTATATTTAGAAATCATGAATTCTAAAGACAAGAACACTATTCAGTAGGTAGATTTGATTCTTTTGAAGCATATAGCCAAACATTATTACTCACCCTGACAATGATGTCTGCACCCCACACAGCTGAGGCGAAATAGAAGGCCAACAGCTGACCTGACTCATTGAACTTGCTGTGCTTTACTTTTGATAGATGCATCTTCCTGTTTAGTTTCTACAACATGTATAAAGTACACATTACAAAAACAAAAGTACACATCAGTTCTTTGTTAGGAGACACCTTAAAACATGATACAATAGGCCATTTTCAGCTAGAATGTCAAATTAAGGTGGGCATATGTATCCAACATGAAATTAAATACACAGGGGGCAATTCAGATTGAAGCGACCAGGGGTCCTTAACCCCTTCCAGAATTATTCCTTAAATAAGGAAAACTTAATTAAAATAACATTTTTTAAATGGACCTTTCCAATTCTGTTCTATCTATTCAGTTCTACAATTATTAAAACTGATGAAAATAATGTTCCAGCTTTGAAAAATATAGTATACATATATATTACATATTTGCAAAAAGAATTAGTCTTTCAAAATAATTCAATTATTTTATTCAGTATTCTAAAAAAAAACCCAGTAATATTGATTCCCTCAAAATCACAAAAACCAAGTCTTTCCCTCTGAAAACATTATATCTTGGTTTAACATTTTCAGTGTTTTCTTTCAAAAAATTAGTCAAAATATTTGAAATATTCCTTAAAAAGTTACCCAAGATTAAGTTCTAAGCAATAAAACATTTCATTTAAGAATACTTACATCAAGGACATATTCCTGAATAACAGCATGAACTACTATACAGATAAGGAGATAGAACATGGTAGAGAAGATGTCCTTACGGCCATAGGTATACAAGCCAACATCTTCTGATGAGGAATCTGTTATAAAAAAAAGACAATTTGAGTGAGGGGGTGATTTTTGCACAATTATCTGAAATCTGCAGGCTGTTTGGGCATCCGAGTTGTGGATGTTTACCTTTGAAACCAGTTCCAAAAATAAGGACGATTTTAACTTTAGCTGCAGATGATACATACCATTCCTGGTGACATTATGCTGGAGAGCTACAAAAAGGCTGGCTACTGGGGCTGTTGCCTGTGGAAAAAAAGATAAAAGAAATCATCATCATCATAATCATCATCAAGAAGTAGAATTATTATCTCTGGGTATAACTGTTACTCTGACTACATTAACCGGTTATCAAAATCAAACAATTGTCAAACAGCAAATTATTTTACATCAACTTGATGTTGATCTTCATAAAAAAAAAGAGTAAAACTGGTAAATACACATTTCAATATACATGTACCACTCAGCTAGAGAGAGCTTCATATCCTTGTGGAGGTAATGAAATACATAAAGACCTCAGTTACTTGTCCTGTATGTATGGACTTTGGAACAATATTCTTACAAAGACAATTTCTCCCTTGGAGGGGAAGTATGTAAACCTGATAAATAAGAGCAGCAATACACCCCTTGAATAGAGAGAATTCCTCCTGCGCTTGAGTACCGGTAACCTAATGCCAGTCAGCTAGGCTATATGACCTACCATATTTATTCTTATAGACCCGCCGGGGGAGTGTAATTTTTCAAGGAGGGGGCATTTAATAGAACACAGAATTTAAGACTCAGAAGGTTGTTAGGTGTAAATATAAAGTTATAAACATAGTCTATAGCCATCATGTCTGTGTAATGCTTCAAACATTGTTAAACAAATTAACAAATGTTTAGGCATTGATGCAAGAAATTGCACTAGTGTAAATATTATTGTCATTTGTACTCACAGTGGTTTGTACTTGTGTACAGCCAGGACAGTAATTCATACAGCAGTCCTGGACATTAATATTAATTGTGTAGAAATGTAAATAGCCATGTGTTTTTCACTTTTGGGATTTCATTGTTCTTTGGATTTTCCAGTTTCATATTCATATGTTTGTGTGTGGATATTTGACATAAGGTTAGTTTTGTGATCTCAGTTGGGGAAAATCAGTGAGAAAAGGGTGAAGGCATTTATTAGAATAAATATGGTATATGCACTTCTCTCTGCACCAATTGACAATGACCTCCCTTTATTATTGCTCTCCTATTTTATATATTTAACTTTATGCATTCATGGTAATTTTGTATTGATATTTTCAGATGTTAGACCAATCACTATTGAACTATGCCTCTGTTCCTTAATGGTTTCCTTGGTGACTTAATGATGACATCATAACATATTGTTAAATTCCAATGTCCCTCCTAACAAAATGTTCACTATGTAAACTGTGTCTGCTGATGGCCTGTCTTTGAGGCTAAATTATGTCGGTAACTAGCTGTAGAAGAAAGTAGCATATACTATAGGCCTATCTGACTTCAGGAGTTGGTGCTATTCTTTCTTATTTTTTAGTTGTTTACTACTTTATGAGAGACCTCTGAATACCACTAAGTATCCTCCTGAAGCTTAGAAGATGAACCTCAATACATATATGAGATTTTTCTTGTCTGATTAATTATCACTTTAGCTTGAGTGTAAGGCTAATAGCACTGAGGTCCTGGGTTCAAATCCTAGCAGAACCATTGAAAGAATTGATGACCTAGATATGCTACAAAAGTTCCACATCTGAACTTCATTGTATGTCTCCAACTGCTAATATGACCAAAATCTCCATCAAATACTACCAAAAAGCTCTTATATTCAATGGCAGCTATACAACCTTCGCAAAATAATTCCATTTGAAGTATGGGTATTTTACCAATGATTTTCAGACTGTTGAAGTATTCTTTTACTGAACCTCAGTAGAATAAATGTTGGAATTTGGTATTTAGCAAATGATAGATAAATTATAAATTGAGAGACTTAAAATCCTGAAAAAATGTAAATTTTATTGCTGAACATATTATCAGAAAGACTGAAACAATAAGCTGATCCATGATGTAATTTTGTAAAACAGCAAACAGAATGATTTTTTTATTTTTGTGTCTGTAAACTTTGAATCAATAAATCAAAACTGTGTTTCAATCAAGAATTCCCTGTTTATATAACTTTCTTTTTCGCATAGGTACTCGGGAGATAGCTGATTGTTACATTCCACATACTGAAGTTATTTGGTTCTTGAAATCTGAGTCAATCCTGCAAGAAATACATGAATCCAGAACTTACATACGGTATTTGAGTCCCAAAATCACTGATTTAGTTTTACTACGTCTGAATCTGATGTCATGTCAGAGAAATACATGTATGTCAAAACCACAAATATAATTCTCAGAAAAATTAACGTGACAGAGGTGCTAACACAGTGACATGTATATTCTTAATAAAATATGATAATAAGACAAACCTTCACTTGGAATATGAACATGTAGAGCTATCTGTAGTTGAGTTTATCATTTTGGACTATACATCAGGTCGGGGAAAACCACGAATTTGCAGATACTATGCAGACTAGCCTATTCAACACCCATTGAGGTATGGATTTGTTACTAGAAACAGTGGAAATTGCTTAAACATTAAAGCCATATCAGCGTTTTCCATAATTTTGTTAGTAGTAGGCTGTGTAGTGAAAGTAGGAGGCTGGCCTGCCGTGTACTTGTAGTTGTGTACGGAACATTATCACGGAACTGGATTGGTATAGGTGGCCAAATGATCAAAGTAGCCGGTCAAATTGGCCGGTGACCGGCTCTTATGGAAAACCCTGCCATATATTAATAAAAGTCACATTAATTGATGACAGTAAATAATTTTATACTGAATGATGTTTACTGAAAGTGTTAGCTATTTAGACATTTAATGTAATTTTAGTTACTGTTCTATTGTAAACATAGACCATACAGGCTAGAATCAATGCAGTTATTACTGGTATTTCCTACAAGGAAATAAATTCTATTTTGCAGTTGTATGATTTTACATGATTAGGCAAATGTGACTTGTGCAAAAGATTGTAAAAAAGTTTAGCTTAAAATGATTTTGGCTATTTTTAGTAACTAATCCATACCCAACTGGCATGCATTAGGCTACAGTAAGCAAATTTATGGTTTTCCCCAACCTTATACCTGTTCATGTTGTCAATATGATAAACAATGTTTGTTAAAAAATGAAGTGTCTCGCTACTACTGATAGGTTTCGAATAATTTCAACATCATCCCAAGTTTACATACATTGAAGAGAGAACTGTATTACAATGTGTTAAAACTCTTGTATTGGACCTGTACCAGAAAAGAGTGTAAACCATCTAGAAGCAGTAATTTTTGTAGGACTTTTTCAAGCGAGTCCAGAACACCATTTTTCAAAATTTTGATGAGTTCTGCTACTAAGAGATATAGTGGGTCTTCATGAGTCTACAGGAAAATATAAGAGTACAAAATATCAAAAGTCACGCAAATAAATCACTGCAGAAGGGTCACACAGCTTTTGTACATTGTGAAGCTGGTACCACTGTAAGAATAGTGGACTTACTAATGTAACTCACTCTAAAACTAAAATACTGCAAATATAAAGACTGATTTTATAATTTAGAACATAACCCAAAATACTGGAACGATCACATTTGTCAATGAAAGTTAGATGCCACGTCACAAATTAAGAAATGATGGAAAACAAAGAAACGAAATTTCCACCAATATGACTTATTAGAATTTGACTCTAACTAAGTTTTAAATATATATAGTCATACGATGAAGTGACATATTCAGTAAAGTTATGTGACATTAAGTAGAAAATCATTGACATATGGGAAGGAGCATTGGCTCGACGCCAACCGGCTTCTGTTCACTTTCGTTTGGTTTTACAAACCTGAAACATGAGACCCACGACGAAAACCATTGCAATGCACGACACAATATCCGCATGGTTCTGTATAAAGAACTCATGGCTGAAGATTGGTGGATTTTTCGTGCTTCTTCCTCGGCGCATTCCCATCTTGATGCAAATACGACAGCTGTAACACCTAACACGATATGAAAGTGCGGCGTGTCAAATGAAGTAGGAAGTAGTAATTAATTTCCCACAATGCATCAGTGTGCCCACGGCGGTGATAAGACGGATAATCTGATTGGATGAAACAAAACCTATCTCGCCGTCTGCTAGGCTAGGGGAATCATTTTGCTGACATCTTGAAATCAAACATTAAACAATTTTTTAATCGAAGCAATAAACATTTATATACACGAATATTTTGTCAATCACTATTCTTTGGTAAAAATTACATAAAGTGACGATATTTTTTAACTCGGCCAGTGTGAACATTAATTTCAAAGGAGACGGAAATGTGGACACGCTTGTAATTCAAAAGATGATAGTCTAATACCATTCACATTTATGACAATCATAAAGCACATTAGCGAAGTGCAATTGTTTACTTAGACTAATACAGTTACACCAACTATTGCCCGATGATACAATGGAATTATAATATCGTCTGGACATCGGTTCCGGACCGTTATGTATTTTCAGAGACGTATCTAGGACATATGTGTTATATACGTCTCTGGTATTTTGGAACGGCATTTTTGTCGAGCCGTATCACATGGACATGAAGTTTTGACTTTCGTGACCTTGCATGCGGATTATTTTGGTTGGTGAATACACTTTTTTAAATGTCAAACATCTTCCTAGAAATGATGAGATAACCTATAGATGATCATCCGCAGATGCCATGTTCCGTTGTCGTCTGTGAATAATGAAAAATAGGCTACACTTCGCATTTTTTTGGATACGGAAATCCAATCTTGCACGTCTTATATTAAAAAACAAGATGATTTCTAAGTTACAATTAAAATAAATGACCATTTTTCTCATTTCCGATTTTATCTAAATAGCGAGTTGTAGACCGAGAGATGAAAAATCAGCTTTACTTAAATAGTATGTGTTATAAAAAAGAAGTTTAACGTAGAAATATGGCTCATTTGAGAAAAGAAAGAGCAAACAACAAAAGCTTGAACCTCACCCTTTAGAAAAGGTTTCCACATAAACACAGATTTCCATTACTTTCACTCCATAAATGTATTTTGATTTTTATTTTCATCAAAATGTAGTTCACCGATCAGTTTTTAAATAAATCTTTTAGTACGAATACATTTCACGTCATTTATGTAGCGGTTTGGTGGCAGTTCATCAATATTGCGTAGCTAGCGAAAAATGATTCTTAAGGGGTCCGAATCTGCTGCGTAAAGGATACGAGGGATCAGCAACTTTTCTGGCGTTACTTTTTGTGTTGTTCACTGAGCCGCGAAGTCTTTTGATTCCGCTTCTTACTGTTGTTAATGTTCTCCGGTGTCTCTACGCTATAGTTAGCAAGTGGACTAAGAAGTGACCAGCCGTTGTGTCGATAAGTAAGAAGTGAATCACTTTTTCAAAACGAAAATAATAGTGTATACAAAACTTCCGTGAGTTAATCACGCAGCTTTTTAATGCAATTGATAAATAAAAAAAAATCTTCATAATTCGGGATGAAAGTGGTATAAAATATAGGGTTGTAATTGCTTAAACATTAATTTTGTTTTAGAAATATCAAAAGTTTACTGAGATTATTTGCTACAAAAGTTTATACAATCAATTTGATATTTATTAATTTTTCTACTTCTGTTTTGGAAGGATTGGTTATGTACCTGTGGGGGGAAAATGTTTATGAAAACAGCAAGGCTAGTTAATGTGTATGTTTTTTGCTATAGCATTCCTGAGCAAGAATATCGATTGACTTATTACTGAAATGAAAACATAAACAATATTGACTGATCAGCAGTAAACAAAATTACATATTATATTTTGCTACATACTTTAAATGTTTCTTATCTTTAAGTTTGCAGCCGAATTTGTAAAAAGTTGAAGATTCTTTGTTCTTGATAACAAAATTCAATTGTGAATTACTGGGTCTTGCTACATTATATTTGACTTGGTGCCATTTTTTTTTCTTTCTTTAAAATCATGCATTTTAATTTAAGAAAGACATGGAAAGCCTATGAATTATGACTCTAAGGTATCTTGCTAAAGATTGTGAGCCAATTGGTTTTTTAAAACATGGTATATCAAACCTTTTTCCCGATAGTTTGCCTAATTTTCTTCTGGGGCTGAAACAATGCTTACACAATGGCAAAGTGAAGAGATAATTTGTTGTGAACCAGTCAGTTGTGACATAATTCTAAAACAGGAGATCACTTACAAGAAATAATTTGTGGTCTTTAGTATGAGAAAAATAACTGAATTGTTATCAATTAACATAATTAGCGAAATTCATTTTGATACATTTACTACAGCAAGTACATGTTCTTCGGGAAATTGAGTTGAAATATTATGTCTTTAGTACTAGAATCGCCCTGGTTAACATGTTCTGATCCTCCCACATGTTCTCATCATCCCACATGTTGTGGCCCTCCCACATGTTCTGACCCTCCCACATGTTCTGATCCTCCCACATGTTCTCCCACATGTTCTGACCCTCCCACATGTTCTGACCCTCCCACATGTTCTGATCCTCCCACATGTTCTCCCACATGTTCTGACCCTCCCACATGTTCTGACCCTCCCACATGTTCTGATCCTCCCACATGTTCTCCCACATGTTCTGACCCTCCCACATGTTCTGATCCTCACACATGTTCTGATCCTCACACATGTTCTGATCCTCCTACATGTTGTGGCCCTCCCACCTGTTCTGACCCTCCCACATGTTCTGATCCTCCCACATGTTCTCATCCTCCCACATGTTTTGATCCTCCCACATGTTTTGATCCTCCCACATGTTCTCATCCTCCCACATGTTTTGATCCTCCCACATGTTCTCCCACATGTTCTGATCCTCCCAAATGTTCTCATCCTCCCACATGTTCTGATCCTCCCACATGTTCTGACCCTCCCACATGTTCTCATCCTCCCACATGTTCTCATCCTCCCACATGTTCTCCCACATGTTCTGATCCTCCCCAATGTTCTGATCCTCCCACATGTTCTGACCCTCCCACATGTTCTGATCCTCCCACATGTTCTGACCCTCCCACATGTTCTGACCCTCCCACATGTTCTGACCATCCCACATATTCTGGCCCCCATCATGTTCTGACCCTCCCACATGTTGTGACCATCCCACATATTCTGACCCCCAACATGTTGTGACCATCCCACATATTCTGACCCTCCCACATGTTCCGACCCTCCCACATGTTCTGACCCTCCCACATGTTGTGACCCTCCCACATGTTCCGACCCTCCCACATGTTCCGACCCTCCCACATATTCTGATCCTCCCACATGTTCTGACCCTCCGACATGTTCTGACCCTCCCCACATATTCTGATCCTCCCACATGATTCGATCCTCCCACATGTTCTGACCCCCAACATGTTGTGACCCTCCAATATGTTCTGACCCTCCCACATGTTGTGGCCCTCCCACATGTTCTGACCCTCCCACACGTTGTGACCCTCCAACACGTTGTGACCCTCCCACATGTTCTGACCCTCCCACATGTTGTGACCCTCCCATATGTTCTGACCCTCCCATATGTTCTGACCCTTCAACATATTCTGACCCATCAACATGTTCCAATCCTCATTAATGCCCAACCACATTTTATCACCTTCTCCTTAAAATGGCCAGACAAACAGTTACGAATACTCTGGTCTGCTCGCTTAACTCTTTTTCAAAACGGACAATTAAACTGAAGTTTGGTGTGAATAACTGTTCGTTCAAAGTTCAATCGCATCGAGATGTTTTTAATCCCTTTATTTATTTTGATCTGAATCGTAAAAATGGAACACAATGATATTTATTTATCTATTCACATGTAATTAGTTCATTTTTCATGATTCATGTACATGCATGTCGGACCAACATATTTTTGCGATGTCCAGTTTACATGACTGAAACATGAAGTGTTCATGTATATCCTACCTTATTCTTTATTGCAACACAAAATATTCTGGTTAAAAATGTATGTTCCTGAATGAAAAGGGCTTGCCTGACATGATAAATATCCCTTGTCCAAGGTTTTTATGTCGTTTGTGCATTCTCGGTCATCTGTGATATTGGAAAATATATGATGTCTTGTCCTAATATTTATACAGTGCACATGTTCGTTGTATAATCTTATCGACATGATCTCTGTGTGTGTAATTACACTTTCAATATACTGAAAAATTCGCTGAAGACTGCGTTATCTAGATCAAATGTTGGACGGAAATGAACGAGAAAGGCGAATTACATTCCCGAAATGGTTTTGTAATACACACCTCTCAATCAATACAGTCTTTCTACCGCACACAGAAGCACCCCGTGACGCTAGTGCAGTTTCAATTTGTTCACCGACCACTTTAAATAACCCGCCATATTGTTTATCTTAATGACAAGCGTCTCAGTGACAACGTCATCACCGAAAGTACAGTGGCGCTTTCGTGTGTTTAGTGCCTGGATGAGCCTTATTATCCGATCTTTACCATCTCCCACATCAGACGAACTCGGCGAAAGGTAAATTCGAAAAAAAATCGAAAGTCTCTCTTTTTTGGTTTACTCTGAAAGAAATAAGTTAATATGACTTTTAACTTTGAACATATTATGTTGTATATATGTGTTTCATATATTATGTCATTGATATCGATGTATAACGCTGACTTCGTTTGTAAACTGATGTTAGGAGAACGAATTACAGATAATCGAAATGTAAGTAGATGGATATAACCAGTGACGTATAATACTGTATTATACGTCCCTGACATAACCAAGTATAATTTTACAATTTCAATAATTTGTTATGGTCCAAAACACACTTCTCATTAATAGTCCAGTCACTATAGACTTTAACCACGAACTAATTGCAACAGAGTGTTTTCTGCGAAAATCTTGCAGTTCAATGATCCCTTGAAAACATACAAAAAATCTAGAAAAATCCAATTTGCGGAAGTTGTTTAAAATTGTATTTTATTTGTACACGGCAAAGCTACTTTGACATGGCCTGAACAGCTCACCATACTGACGTCATCGCAGTCGTATAGTGACGTCATCGGGTTTGTTTATTTCCGATTATGAAGAAAATAAAAGTAAGTATAGAATCTACCTATTTGTTGCTTTACAAATGTTTCTACTTATCAGAACTTTTTAAAGACCCTAATAAGTGACTAACACCATGATTTCATACAAATTTGTTGCCTGTGTCATTGTTTACAAGATGTGATTATATCTAGCGGTATCTTTGACACCATGTTATATATAATCTCGATCATGTCCACACATTGTCGAATTGTCACTTCTCCGTTGTCTTTACGATGCACGCATGCTTGGTGTTATTCGTTTGTATGGTATTTAAACATAGTTTCTATATAAAACATAGTAATTATAAAGATAAACGACTAAATTCAAACATTACTTTGGAGCCGAGATTATGTTAAATTTTGAATCTACGGAAGCGCATAAGGGACATCATTTTCGTAAATTATAAGGAAAATCCCAATAACTAATGTGAGCGTGCCTGTTACTGCTGGTCTCTATGTCTGTTGACCTCTATCACTATTTTTGGTTTCAGAAAGTTACTTAAAGATGTCAGTCTGAAAGTAATGTGGGATTGACACTTGGAAACAATTGCTTTAAGGTATGTACATATCTAAATATTAATTGGTTTCCATTTATAAACGTTGGTGTTCAAATGACAAAACTGAAATATAATATAAATTCCCAACCCACCAATCACTATGATATTACTTACATAAAGCGATATCCACGTTACCTGATTTCATAGATGCGTAACACCGAGTGTGTGCATTTGTTTGTTTGGTTGCTTGGCGTTTAACGCCGCTTTGAACAATTTTTCAGTTATATCACGGCAACAGATCATTTATTCATATTTCCTGGATTCTACCAGTACTAGGCTTGAGCTCTGAAGTGCATTGCACAAGAACACTCCCTGGACCACCATGTAATCCTTAATTGTCAGAAAAAATACTAATTAATCGTAAACAGATTGTACTGTCTTCTCTAAATATAATTTTCAGATGGATAAGAGCATTATTTGCAAGCAAGTGTTGGCAGGAGGGGAAGCGATCGCACACTTGAGACAGAAAGGATCTGACGGTATAAATAAAGCAAGTAGAGACCGTGGTGATGATGCCGTCGCAAGTCCTGGTCAAAAGGTACACGTTCAGTGCAGAAAAGACTACTGTGACCAAAATGTGATCCGTCAAGACAACAATGACAAAGCAGCAGTTAGTCCATGTGCATTACCGTCGCTGAGATCCAGGAATGAACAGTTCAATTTTAGAGATCCCTGCTTATTTTGTGGACAGGATGCAAAACTAAACGACAAAAAACGAGGAATAGACGTGTACCCTGTCCGCACTCTCCTGTTTCAATCAGTGCTACTCGATATATGTAGGCAACGATCTGATATGTGGTCTTCTGAAGTGGAGAAACGAATCAATATGGCGCTGGACTTACCTGCAGCGGATGCTGTGTACCATCAATCCTGCAGTGTAAATTTCAGGTAAGAAGTGTTCATCTTCAAAGTGGAGTGGTGTTTAACGCCGCTTTAAATATTCTTTCTGTCATATCATGGCGACAGTTCACCTATCCATGCTTCCTGGGTTTCACCAGTACTAGACTATGCTCTGAAGTGTTTTGCCCAAGGACACTCCCGCGAGACTAAGTGGCTCGAGTGGGGATCGAACCCATAACCGTCAGTCACATGAGATCACAAGTCCGCCACCCTAATCACTGAAACTGGTTAGAGCGCCCGCCTCCGGTGCGGGAGGTAGTGGGTTCGATCCCCGACCTGGTCATACCAAAGATTTTCAAAAAATAGTAGTAATGGCTTCCCTCCTTGGCGTTCAGGATCATGGGGTTGGCATTACGACTGGTTCGTCAGTATCAGGATAAAGTGACTGGTCGGGTTCAGACGTGTATCAGTGTTATACACTGGGCACGTTAAAGAACGAGAGGGCTCTATCGTATAAGAGTAGGAGTAAAGCCAGGATCCCCTGTATCCAATCTCCCTCTCTCTGGGACGTCCATTAGGTGGTGCTGAGATTGAAGGACTGAATCTTCTTCGCTTTACGAAATTTGTAAAGTAGACAACCTCCGATATTTGAATATTTGAATATATGATGCATCAAAATTTCACCGTTACAGAGCTTATTTACAGGTCCAAAAATGGAGCTTGAACCAACTGACTGGGGCTGGGCGGTGATCGATGCTAGGTTCATTCCCATTAATACGGATAAACCTCCAACCCATGGAAATCTTCTGAAAACTATCACATGTAACTGCAGATCCAGTTGTGATACTCATAGAAAACATGGGTTAGAATGCACAACTGGTGTGGTGAGTGTAGGGGTCTTAGTTGTACGAATGTTTCAAACATAGTAGAAGAAGACGTAAGTGATATTTTGTGATGAGAATTTGCTTAGCAAATATCTTTGTGTTAAATAGTATGTGCTGTAGATATTGTCTTTATACCACTGCAAAAGAACTGAATTGTTTGGACGAATACTGTGTCATTCGTATGCTATTTTGTAGACCTATTCAAATAAAGTGGGCGGGGAAACATATGAATAATGCATTGTATATTGTAAACTCGTATGAAGCCACACAGCTATTAGTTTTGTTTCAGTATTTCGTTTAGAATGATTACACGTTATATGATTATTTCATGACTGACTGTTAACGGTGAATTCAGACCTGATTAAAGTTTGGGTGGGTGGGGTAAAACATAAATTAATCGGAAATAAATCATAAAACTATATATATATGATCTGTTTAAATACAATTAAATACACCAAATTACATGTTGTTGTTGATACTTTTGAATTCTTGGTGTAAGATGACCTTTATATATCGACTTTTCCATATGTACACGAGCCTCGGCGTTTCCGTTGCTATGTTGGCTGTAAAAAACTTAGTCGAACACGTGGTTATGAAAAGACAAAAAACACTTATTTCCCCTCATTAGATTTTTCTAGATTTTCTCATGTGCATGAGGGAAGTATTAAGGAACTCAAAACTGTTGTCCCCGTTTCTGTTGCAATTAGTTCCAGGTTGACCCTATATTTCACCTAAAGTGATTGGACTATAAAAACAATCTTACATAGGTGCCAAAGTCTGCCATCAAAATCAAGGTGTTATTTAATAGGATCACTTGCTAAAACTGCAATATTTAGTCATAGTTTATACACAACAAACTCAGAAATTAGATGTCTCGGATTTATTGCTATTCTACATCTAAACACTGAGATATATATACATGCATATGATCTATTGGCATGGAATCTTGTATACCTCTTTCGTACTTCGAAAGAAATATAAAGATCTGTTACAATTATTGACATGATATCAATATATAATGATCCGATCGGGAATAAGATGCCAAACGAATGATTTAAATGTAAAATCAAGAGAGTTCATAAGAGAATTATATTGCCATTTATATAATTGTAATGTATAAGAATAAAGTCACTCACACAGCTGCTTTTGAGCCTTTCTCAGAACGTCTGGTTGCACCTGTATATATTGAGTGTAACATGAAGATGGCCAATGTCCCGGTGTCTGAATTAAACGATTTTCTACATTGTTTGCTGTAGCAGCAGTAGGTGCAGCACCCCCACGGAAAGAATGTCCTCAATACTTACTGGCATCAAAACCAGATCTTGTTCGAACATTCTCTAGATAGCCTAGAAACCTGTCACTAGAGAAAGGCTTATTTTCCAATTGGTCCTCCACGAACAGAGGTTTACTATTTTTCACAACCTCTAATAGAGTTTCAGCGTATATCAAAATAGCTTTTTACAAATAATCCCGGACCCATTCATCTTTTTTTCCCTAAATTTGAACTACAACACCATGCTGAAAAGGGTCTTTTTTGATGCTGGCGAACGGAGATTTAAATATGAAAGGTCACTCGCAAATGTAACATAACCTAAAGTCAAATGCTCTGTTAATCGCACTGTGAATTCACTACAACGAAGAAAGTTAGAAAAGGCTACTAAGATCATGCATTGTAGAGTCCAAAGGTCCAAAGATGGTTCAAAGATGCCGCCCTGAAGAGAATTGCAAAGCGAGAAAAGAATAAGTGCTGTAATGGGCATCCTGACTTTTGGTGTAGACACTTGAGATTTTTTAATACCTCTTAATACCATACTGAGCCTGTAACATTGAAGTGAAGGGTTACCGAAACCATGTTTTACGTAATGATGACTCACCCCAGCAAGGTACAATTTAATGGTGCACCACTGCAATTTTAATAATCTCGCACAATAGGTAGCGAAGTAACCAAGTAAATCTTCTGGGGACGTTGGCAAAGACATATCACCCGGGACGTGATTAAGAACGTGACGAAGCACTAAAATCCTAAATTAGGATAAATGGACACCTCCATCAAACACTCCATGCCAGGTTTTAGAAAAGCGCCAGCTCTGAAGCCAGCGGGCAGGGTGTTGGTATTGAGTCTTCCGTTGGCGCAAGCAGTCTAAACTTCCGGTCTTGGAACTGCGAAAGAGAATCTACGATTAGATTACATTTCCCTGCAATTTACTTTGCATGCAGAGAAAAGTTGTTGACCATAAGAAATTTCCCATAAACCATTGTCCTGCGAACCCGTAACCTGAAGGTGTTGCCTATGTGAAAAATTCCGTTTCTGCTTTAGTGGAATCTGATCTGATCTACAACCTGCAAGATCTTACTGGACGAATAGCTCTACACGCAAGTTCAATTGTCCTATGAGACTGAGCAAGCCTCTTTTGGTACACATTTTAGTTATAAACGTTGATATAATGTTTGAAATTCTGTCTATCTTTTCTACTGGCAAACGTGTCTGCATCTTTTTTTTTTTTTTTTTTAAATAAATAAAGGTTATTTATTTTACATGATTTTTTTTTTATCTTTTTTGTATCTCGGATAGTACATACATACTCCAGACATGTAGTTGATCTCACCGATTTCTTACTAGACAATGGCACAAACCGTTGTTTAAAGACCAGCGCCATAGTACAGTGAGGTAAAGCTTTCTGGTGCATCTATAGTCAGAAAGTTATCCAGCAAATGCAGGATATATTGAACTCCATAGTTATGTTTTAAAATCCAACAGATAGCAGTAGACAGAGTGTCAAATAGTTTTGGACTTGGACGATTGCCAAACACCAGCCTTTTAAAGTGAAGTAATCATCCCATTTAACGACGTAGAATGGCTACAGATCCTCTTGTATTGGAACTAATGTGAAAGCATCTCGAATGTCTGTTTTACCTTTGCCACTATAAGACGTTTTTTGCTCGACCTAGTATTTCCCTTCTGCTATATCAATAAGGCTTATTCTGTAATTGTGAAATGATACTTCTTTACCGAGGAGAAAACCTTTTTATAACTCTGCTTATTGTGGTCTCTGTTTGTTTCTACAAATTGTTTGTCTGGATGATTTTCAAGCTCTAAAGCCATTAGATCTACTTTGACGGGAATCAAAGCCTGATTTATTTGCTTTGTCCCATCTCTTGAGAGTTTTTTGAAAACGAATTAAATTTTTGTTGAGTATGCTCTCCTTTGCACATCAAACAGAGATGAAGATTTTTACGGTTGTTTCTCGTACAGCCACGAGATGTATTGAAATTGTTGCAAATTTCTTTGCCATTGCGTTGCACTCGTGCCCGACCTAGCACGTCAGTATCACTGTTGTTGTTGTTTTTGACTGACGAGTTGTAAATACGAGCACTGTCCGCACAAGGACAGAAACTTGTTTGACGCAGGGTGCTGTCACACACAGAACATATATACTGGCTTTGAAATTTGCGAAAATTCCACAAAACACAGTGGTAATTCTGATTTACCGATCCACTTTAACATTATTGTTACATTTAAAATGAGCTGCCGCCTGCGTTGTAAACATTTTATGGTATTCAGAAAACCCTTTCCCGTTGTATCGACTTTCCATGTAAATGATGTCCCTTTCATACATATCTAATTCCTCCCTGCGGTGTGAATGAGTCTGACACATAACGTTTTTGTATATGCGGAAGGCTTGAATGCTCTGGGGCAATGTCAGCGACTGTAGTAGTCTTACAACTTGGTTATCGGCGACGATCTTTTCAGGATGGATTCGATTGTAATAAGGAATGAGCAGGGCGGCTGAATTGACATCCTTGCCCTCCTGTATTTGACGTCTGAGTGACTGTTGCACCGTTTCAACGGAAGGCAAAGATTCGGCTGGATACCCAAATTTCGTCTGACAATACTGACCTCGATATCCAGTCCTGGGTGACGTGTCGCCTGGGTTGACATTTCCTATGTTAAAAGAAGTAAAACCAGCATCTCCATTCATACATCTCGTATTTTCCGTGGCTCTGTTGTGCCGTCACTATCGTTGTCAGATTTCCCCCGACAATGACGCATGCGCATTTCAGCCACGCCCATTACCTGACCGTCACTGTCTGAAAAAAATAATTTATGTTGCGGTTGGAACAAAGAATACATGAAATCTCAATGTCAAAATCAATCCTTCAAAA